CAACTTGAGAGATAGGATAGTTTAAATCTCAAATTATAGTCGCAATTTTAATTTATTGCAAAATATTTGTTTATTATTTGATACAATTCTAACAGATGGCGCTGTGTTAAAATTATCAACGTTTCACATAAGCTGTCATCTACCTTTCACATAAGTTCTCCTACCGTTTCCCTTGAATAGTTTACTACTATGTAATATAACAAAAATCTTAGCCACTGCAACGCTTGGCCGGTCTGCTAGTAAATATATATAATTTATTTAGAAGAAAAACAACAATAATAAAACATTATATTTCAACTAACCGTTTCTGTCTTGACAGTGCATTTCCGAAGACATCTGAAATACAAAGCAAGTTATAAATATAAAATTAAAACAGTATTGACCCAAAAAAGATTATACCCCGGCATGAGGGTTGGCCTAGTGGCTTCAGCGTGCGACTCTCATCCCTGAGGTAGAACCCTGGCTTTGCACCAATGGACTTTCTATGCGCTAACATTCACTCGAACGGTGAAGGAAACATCGTGAGGAAACCGACTTGCCTTAGACACAAACAGTGTGTCGTGTGTCAGGCACAGGAGGCTGATCACCTACTTGCTTATTAGATTGACATTAATTATATATAAATCTGAGACCTAGACCTAAGAAGGTTGTAGCGCCACTGATTTATTAATTATTTTCTGAGCAAGCCAAGTTTATAGGCCAACGGTCAGTAGGCTCACCTGATGTTAAGTGATACCATGGATACTCCCAATGACGGAGAGCTCGTGAGCCGGCCTTTAAGAGTGAGTATGCTCTTTTCTTGACTCCAACTGACTCTTCTCTGAGATCGTAGCAGAACTACTGCACCAATGGACTTTCTACGTGCGACAATAAAGGAAGACATTTGAAGAAACCAGTACCACCCAAAAGACTGCTGCGTCTCCAGTGTAACTATACCACCTGGGGCCCCCCAATGGGGCCTGGGGCCCGTGGCAAATGTTCTTTTGTGGCTATTCTTTTGATTTTCCTATCAGTAAAAATCGTCCCTTCTCAGTTTAAGTTTAATGAACTTCGAGATTTTCAGCGTACTCAATTACACGTTGTATATGTCCCACTAATGGCCATAGGCCTCCTCTCTTAGCGAGAGAGAATGGTCTGTAGACCCCACGCTAGCGCAATGCGTATTGGAGACTTCACATTCATCCATAGAACATAATATCTCTTGGGTCGGGGGCCTGTGGTATTTTGCCAGCCCTGCCACCCTATTGTTATTTGTTACCCCACTGTGGGTCTCCCATCTGGTGTTTTAATAACCACGAAACATATACAGAAATGAAGCCCAGACTTAAAAGGTTGTAGCGCCATTGTTTTTGTAATACAAGAAAAAATTGTAAGAAAAAATTGTTTTGTTAGATTTCAGTTTTAGTTGGTATATTTCAGTAATTTTTGTTAATTATTCATTTATAATAACAATTATTATAATTCCGTTGTCTACTTTATGTAACCGACTTTTTATATGTACGTTTAAGATAAAGTATAAATAAATAAACTTTTTTTTTGTTTTTAAAATCTTACCGTCATTTATAAGCAGACACAAAACGAGTGCGTAGCGATACATGTTACTGATAAAAATATGATTGTAAATTTGTTTATATATTTTTAATGTTTAATCACCGATGCGGGCGTAATTATAAGATACAAGATAATATCACTCTCTAAACCAGTGTTTTCCAACATGATGCCATGCCAAAGATAGATGTAGCCTAATCTCAGGTTTACTGAATATGCATTAATAATTTCATAGGAATCGGTCGAGCCGTTTCGGAGGAGTATGGGAACGAACATTGTGACATGAGAATTTTATATAATTAGATAATTATCGAATAGGTCGCAAACAATATTGGCAAAATACACGAAATTTAGTCAACTTTATTTTTAATTTTATATTAAAAATTTAATTTACCTAGATATTAATAATAAAAAAATATTTTTTTTTTTATAAAGTTTGGTCCCGGTCGCAGTGTGTATTGCGATGATTAATTGAGCGAGGAAAGCACCAGCTGTGAGGTCACCGGTACTATCTACTTCAAGTTAAATCTTTAATTAGCTGTGCACTTGAACCCCACGGCCCCAGTCAACTCCAAAGGCAACAAAATCAAAGTTGGAGGAAAGACTCTTCTATCTACGCGGGTTATTATTTTCCGCCTGCTCTGCTGCGTCAGCTTTTGAGCTTGTCCGAGGGAGGAACAAGGCTATGTCCACACAAGTAGCATCCCATATGAAAGCCCTCCCATTCTCCAAGAGATCAAAGACATCACATCCGGCCGCGTGCGTCTCTTGCACCATTGGCTCCAAAATGGCTGGAACATTGACGGAGGCAAGAGTGTGGGGTATGTCGTCGAGCGCGGCGTGGCGAGAATGTCCTGCACTCTTTTGGCAATGGAGGCTATGGTCTCCAAGGCTACTAACTTCAAAGCCACAGGGACACTTATGGGGAGTACATATGGGCACTCGTAAGAGAAGGTTGATGGCAATTCTTCCGGTGGTCGGTGTTACCAAATACCAGCTTTTAACCAAATTGGGATTGAAACTCTATCTCTATTGCCTCTCTATGCGTATTCTACAAAGTGTACTATAGGGAGTGCTCTGAAGAGTTGAGTTTATCCATCACCATACGAGCCGTATAACTCAAAATTTCATCAGCATGGCTGGAAGTCCTTCACGGTCCGCTTCACCAGACACTTTCTTTTGTGACCTGGCGAACTGTAGAAAAGACTCCCTCCTCCGAGCGCCCATTTTTTTAAAGAAAGAGTATACGCCTATTTTTGGACGTCAAGAAATTCCATGTAATTCAGGGTCTAATAGGGTGCCAGTGTTTGGAGAAAGATAGGCATGAAGCTAATGAACAGCTTTCCTAGATGCCACCAGCCTTATTTTAAAAACATTTAATACACTAAATACTCTGATGGTGGAGCTGGAAGGTCTTCAACTGTATTTTTTTAGAACAGGGGGCAAACGGGCTTACCTGATAGTAGTGATAACGCCCGCCCATGGACACTCTCTATGCCAGAGGGCTCGCGAATGCGTTGCCAGCATTTTAAGAATTGATACTCTCTTTTCTTGAAGGACCCTAAGTCGAATTGGTTGGGAAATACTTCAGTGGGCAGCTGGTTCCACAAAGTGGTGGTGCGCGGCAAAAACTGCCTTAGAAAAATTAATATATATTACTTCTTCTCTAGATCTCCTTGGAAAATTAATATATTTATTTGATGACGCAACAATGACTTGGTGCTTGACCAAACCATTGTTTCCAGGTTTTCAACCAGACGTCGTCGCGGCTCACTTTCTTTGCCTTGTATGATTATTGAAGAGCTTTTTTTTAGACTTGCCGTAAAAATTAATATATATTTGATAAACTAAAATAACTCCCGGCTCACTTTCTTATTGTATTTTTTCTTTACACATTTTTAGCCTTGGCAATCTTAATGAAACGCTATCACCACATTCTGTAGACCTCTACGACTCTCCGGTTCATACAATTTTCGTTATCAAAAATACAATAGTACGCGAAACGAGAGGTCACGTTGATTGGTCGTTTATAACGGGTCTTTAATTTACGGGTGAAAGGTCAAATGTTGTCAACGAACGGCGATAATGATGAGTGAACACGGTTGTAACTAATTTTTTTAACAGAATAAATATAAATATTTGTAAATCTAAGTACAAATTCATCTTAATATATATAAATTACGTGTCACGTTGTTTGTCCGCTATGGACTCCTAAACTGAAATTTGGCGTGGCGACGCCGTGTGCAGGTTTATCTATATACAGTCTATAAGCAGTAGTGTGTACGGTGTCTGTACATCGAAGTCAATGATTATACCCGCAATTTAGTTGTTAGATTTGAAATGAATTGTTAATTTTTGTATTTACAATTCAAACAAATGGCCTTTCAAAGTAAATTTTCCATAGATAATTTTATTTGACATTATCACCTATGCATTGGTCCCCATCACTAGTGTTCTCTAGTTTCCCTTGCATAGGTTACTTCTATGTAATAATAACTAAGACCTTCACACAGCCACGCGTGGCCCGGACTGCTCACATATTTTACAACTTTATTAAAATGTAACTAGAGTGCCATGTACTCAAACTATAACTTGAGAGTACATATAATTAAAGTCAGAGTACCAAGTCGGTTAATTCAGTTCTTAAAGGATCTTCTGCCTTAAGTCATAAGTCAAAAATCATTTAATCATATAGGTAACACAATGTACACTTATAAACGTCAAAAAAGAAATGTATATGAAATGCTTCTAACTTTACATTCAGTGCCAGTTCTCAAATCAAGGGTGAAGAACGGAAGAGAAGAACTGGCAATAAACTCTCCGCCACTCTTTTTAATCGTTTTTTTTTACACAACGTTTGTAAGGAGCTGCAACCATTACACCATGTTCCACATGACATCTTAAGTAATTAACTTAGTTATTACCAACCTAACATATGAGATGTTAGGTTGGTAATAACTAAGTTATATGATGACCATATCATTATTAAACACTAATTGTATTCTAAATGAAGCTGATATGTCTTCTAGTGCCTTGGAGATCGAATTATCGAAAGAGATATGTATAAACAGTCAAGTGAGAGAGCGTTCAAGTATTATGTTACGTATTTTGGGCGTTACGATGCGGGGCGGGGATTAAATTACGTTTTTTTTTTTGAGGTTAAAAAGTGCATTTTTAGGTGGTTTTATTGAACGATTTGCTGCTTTGCTTTTATTGTTAATATTTTTTACAACTTACACCACATAATAGTAACTAAAGAGTCACTAGGTGGTCACGAAACGTTTTACTATACAGTACTGTACTTGGGTACTGAAAAACGTTACGGCGAGTTACATGGGGGGGTGGGCTCAATAATCTCCAAAAATTGCGTTACGTAATACTTGAACGTAAGACGGATTTTTTATAAGAAATTTTTAAGCAACAGAAAAATAAGACAGTAAACAAAAGTTAAAATGGGAATATTATCGTCGTTTGTGATGATAGATAGGTGAGAAGGGACTTGAAATGGCCAAGTGGATAGAAAGTAGAGGATAAAGCAACCTGGGAAGATGAAAAGCGGGGAGATATTGCTAAAGTAGTGAAGATGATTTTTTGACAAGAATTTAGAAGAGGGCTACAATTGGAAATGTACTAGTCTTAATATATATATTTCTTCTGTGCGTGTGTATGTGACTGAACTCCTCCTAAACGACTGGACCAATTTTGATGAAATTTTTTGTGTGTGTTCAAGGGGATCTGGGAATGGTTTAGATTCACAAATCAGCCCGACAGATGGCGCTGCAGTCGGTACTTTCATACTTTGTTTAATATCTTAATCGGTTGAAATATCATGCAGGACAACGTCTGTGGGGTCCACTAGTTTTTTTATAAAATTATAATGAATAAAAGCCAGGGTGAACGGCGTTTTTTTATGTGACAGTGTCACGTCACTAAAAACATTTCTTTCAGTTCTCAAATCAAGGGCGTAAAGAACTGGCAAATAAACTCTTCGGCACTCTTAAATAAGTATAATAAGTACCTATTCTTAAAAGGCCGGCAACGCACTCGCCCTGTGGCATTAAGAGTATCCATAGGCGGTATCAGTTAACATCAGGTGAGCCTCCGTTTGCCTCCTGTTACATAAATAAACATACATTGAATATATATGTAAGGAAAACATAATATATTTTCCTATACAAACTCTTGTCTATATTATATTTTATATAAACTCTTTTGTAATGTTGTCTTTGCCGTCTGATCGACGATGTTTAATTTATGTCACTTGACATAATATATGTAAGATATTTTAATTTTTTTCATTATATTATTTTACTTTATAAAACCTAGAATATAGGCTTTAAATGTTGTTTATTTTGTATTCACAGGTGAGTGAATAATTTGTAAATATATATTTTTTTATTAAATGTAAATTAATAGATATTATTTCTTTTGTAAATAAATCTTTTGTATTCACAGAGAAACGCAGTTGCGCCTTATTTATTCCCAGTATAAGTGATTGATACTATTATATATATGTATATATGATTTTGATTTGTCAACGCTGAAGGTATATAAAATTATCCAAATATTTAAATACCAAGTTGCAACCGCGGGCGCATCAATCTCATTACACCGAAGAATCATTACAGATGGCTGTCTTGAGACGAAAACAGTGTATTTAATTTGTAAGTATTGTTTAAATAATCGATACATATATTTCCCTTGGTTCCAGTTCTAGTCCTAGTTCTAGTTCTAGTCCCAGTGCCTTTCTTGATACAAATATCGCAAGGAAATGCCAGCATTTAGTGTCTACAGACAAAGTTTTTTCTAGTGCTCTCTTTTTTTTTGTTGTCTGAGTTTCACGCTAAAAAATAGGTTTTTGATTGTGACAATTTGTTTTTGATGGACAATTGTATTCTTTGCAAGAGTGTTTCAAAGTTTTAGTAATTAAGCCGGCATTTTGAGATTGTTTTTATATCGTTTAACACGCTTAGAAATAGGTAATTATTGTTGCAATTTGTTTTTGATGGACAATTCTATTCTTTGCAAGAGATGTTGGCATTTTGAGATTGTTTTGGTATCGTTTAATACGTTTAAAAATAGATAATTATTGTGACAATTTGTTTTTGGTGGACAATTTTATTCTGTGCAAGAGACACGCCACAATAAGAGAAAATTATTAAAGGCGCGATTTGTACATTTTTTATACACTTTTGGGTTAAAAATCTTAAAGTTTTAGTGCTGAACAACACTCAGGCCGCTAGTTAAACCACGCTGTTTAGTTAAAAGGCTAGGCTGTTAATCGAATGGCTTATTTAGCTAGTTCGCTGAGACATACACATGTTATTGTGTTATATATGTTATATAAATTTTTTGTGCGCATTTAACATTACGATAATTTGCAACGCACCTAAATTATTAAAATATAAGAGCCTTTCCTCCAACTTCGATTTTGTGCCGTTTGGAGTCGAGATTCTTGGGCCTCAAGGGTTCAAGTGCACAGGTAATTAAAGATTAAAGTTGGCGCCTGGTAGATAGTACCGGTGACCCCAGAGCTGGTGCTTTCCTCAACGAATAAGTATCGCAATACAGCGAGGAAATGCTGCCAGCGTTAAACAAACACTGTCACAGGGAGCAAACTTTTCAAGTTTTTTTGTTTTTTTTTTAATTTTTATTATTACTATGTGGGTTAAGAACATTGTAAATACTGGACATATAATTGTTATGATTACTAATACAATTATAAGGTTATATGTTAAGGTTATTTATTAATTTATTAATAAGAATCCTCTAATTTAATTTAATTCAAACTCAAACTCAAAACTCAAACTCAAAATATCTTTATTCATGTAGGTAAACAAGTACACTTTAAATTTACAATTAATTTAACTTCTTTTTCGGACGTTCATAAGTGTACTTGTTTACCTATATGAATAAAGTTATTTTGAGTTTGACTTTGAGTTCTTAACATCAGGCAATCCAGCCGGTTTATAGCTTAAAAAAAGTATTTTAATTTTTGAAGTGAAACTTCTTTAGAAGAGGGTACAATTTTTAAAAAAAACATCACGAAGATGTGCAGCGATTTTGTCGAAGAAAAGGGAGAGAGCAATTGAGTCCGATTGAGAGAGAGTGAGAAGGGTGAATCACCTTATAGAAATTATATTTTTAAAATTAAAATTTCGTAAAGAGAATTTATGAAATATTTGTATATTATATTTTATGCAATATAATTTATTTAAATCTCTGATGACGAATTTAAATAAAAATGCCACGTGTTTTTATTACCGAAGAAGTAAAAACACGTCTAAAAAAATCTAAAGCTTTAGATTTGTATAAATATGAACAAGACTTAAAAATTATTATGCCAAATAAGTTTCCCTTCTGTGTACTCGCACGCACTTTTTTTTAAAATAATTTATTTATTTTCAGAATCAACCGCTATGTTGACGTTGGGTTTAATATTATTTTATGGTAAGTAAACATTATATTCATATTTTAAAGGCCAGCAACGCACTCGCGACCCCTCTGGCAAGTGATACTGCCGCTAATGGACAGTATCACTGTCCATTAGCGGCAGTATCACTTAACATCAGATGAGCCTCCAGCCCGTTTGCCTTCTGTTCTAAAAGTATTAAGTTACAATGCATAAAAGGCCGGCAACGCACTTGCGAGCTTTCTGGCAAGGTGAGTGTCTATGGACGGTATCACTTATCATCAGATGAGCCTCCAGCCCGTTTGCCTTTTGTTATATAAGTACCAATGCATAAAAGTCCGGCAACGCACTTGCGAGCCCTCTGGCAATGTCGAGTGCGGCAGTTCCTAACATCAGATGAGCCTCCAGCCCGTTTGTTCTGTTCTATAGGTACCAGTCTATTCTTGAAAGGACGGCTAAGCTTGCGAATTTTGCAAAGAGTCTAAGAACTGACTCTCTTTTTAATGATCTCTAAGCCTTTGTAACTGTTCCAGGTCATGCATTAAAGTCCTTGACGTCAGCATCAGGCCTTCACTCAATCTTTCCAGAACTAAGAAGTATACATATGAGTTCAAAGGGAATGTTTCATCTGGGAGTGTGGTGACTCTCAGTTATTGGACTATTAGTGGATCTCTCACAGTTCTTGTGTATGATAATTATACTAAAGCGAGGTTCGAGTTGGATCATTTAAAGGTAATCTTAATTCATCCTGGGTTACTCCATTCATGTGTTTGAAAATTTTCTGTCGCTGTCGGCCCAATACTTAGATAACACTGAAAATGTTTAGAAAATGAAAAACTTAATGTAGATCGTTGCCAATTTTTTTTTTTTTTTTAAAGACAATTCGCACCAATTGACCTAGTCCCATGCTAAGCTGGTGAAGCTTGTGTTATGGGTAATAGGCAACGGATATACATACATATTATAGATAGATAGACATATAAATACATATTTTTTTTAAACACCCAAGACCTAAGCACAACACCAAATGCTCATCACATCGATGTTCGTCTCAGCCGGGGATCGAACCCGGGACCCATGGATTCGCAGTCACGGGTACTAACCACTAGACCAATGAGTCGTCTTACTTTTATTGTTTTTCGAAGTAATTCTCCGTTCCTCTCTACACATCGTCGCATTCGATGGAACCACTGAGAAAAGTAGTGGGCCCATTGTTCCTTAGGGGTCTCTTCTATGGCATTTTCGTACGCTTTCACCGCATCTCGAATTTTATCTTTAGTTTTGGGTTCGTAGCAATTTACCAGCTTTCATTACCTGTGACGATGTCAAATACAGCATTTGAGTCACCGGCGTTGAACTTATCATTTGGCGACACCAGTCCATGCGAAGGTTTTTCTGGTCGTCGGTTAAAGTATGGGGAATCCATCTGGTACCAAGCTTCCTGACAATGTTTCTAACTGGCTAATTCTAAACATTTTCAGTGTTACCCACGTAAATTCATCCATAGATTAAAGTAATAATTTCTACAGTCACGTGACACTAGCTACAGATTAGACAATAAGCAGAGCACTGACGTAATCTGTAAATAAGGTTCACGGACTTTCTTTCTATATCTCATTGAACATTTGCTCGAACGGTGAAGAAAAACATCGTTAGGAAACCGGGTTGCCTTAGACCCAAAAAGTCGACGGCGTGTGTCAGGCACAGGAGGATGATCAAATACTTACCTATGACAAATGATTATGAAACAGATTCAGAAATCTGAGGCCCAGACCTAATAAATAAATATAGTTTAAAAACTAAAAAACACGCTTTTAAAGCACATCAAACTAAAAAGTGAAAAATAATTTCTAATTTAGGCTGCAAATGGTAATGAACAAAAAATACTGGTATTATTGTGAAAAAGCGTAGGTTGCTCGATAGACGAAAAATATGGCACAGAGATTTTTTGGGTTTTTTAAACTATATTTATTTATTTTTTGGTTAAATTTTTTTTATTTTTTTTTTTTCGGATTATTGCATTGTCATTGATCTTAGACAGGTGCGCAAAGTTTGAATTAAATCTGTTTGTTAAAAGTGGGTCAAAATCGAGTCCGAAGGAGTCGGTTACATACATACGGTTTTTTAAATAATCAATAAAATCACAAAATCACCTGTCTACCAAATGCCGACAAAAATCATCTAATATTTCTGCCATAAAATGCGGTGAGGTGATAGGACCTTGGAGAAACTGATCGTGGGCACAGAAAGCAAAAGATCACCGCCCTTCACCAACCAGATGGACCGATGAAAAATTAACATATTGTATTTTTCTTACATTAATTTTTTTTTTAAATTTTCTACCACGAAAATAAATATAATAAATTAAAATATGAAAATAAGTGCAATCGATCTCAAGTTATATATGCTGAAACAAACCCGATAATGCTATAGGATATTTACCCACATTTATAAATTATTTTAGTGAATCTGTGTGCCCTTTTTTGGCAAACACTTTCTCTAAATCCCGCCATTCCTCTGTTCCACTCTCTACCACGTAACTGCTGTTTCCTATATGTCTATCCACCTTCTAAATTATCTTCCTCTTTTTGTTTGCCATATCACCACCAGTCTAATACTGGCTCCATTTTTCTATTCCCCTTGCCATGTGCCCCGCCCATTTCCTGTGGAAGTGGAGTTTATTTATTGAAGTTATATTTCATTTGGCGCGTTAGGGAGAAATGATAATAAATTTTTACAATGCGCGCGCTCACCGTCACAAAAACCCGACGCCCTGAAGTTAGCTATAGTGAACATTTTATTTTGTGATATTTAATAAACTTTATTTAACTAGATAATGCGTTAATAAAACTTTCAATGTATTAAATACCTTTTTTTTTATTGTTAGTGTCGTTTTTACAAAAGTAGAATAAAATTTTTGAAAAGATTTTTATCTTGTTACGCCAAAGCAGTATTCTTTATTTTGTTTATTCTTTCTTCTCTACCTTTCGTTACAGCCCACAGTATACACGAAGAATAAAGGCCACACAACTGAGCAGTCGCTGGAAGCCGTCTCCTACTTGAAACAACCATGGGAAATAGAGTATTTGGTAAGGATTTTTTTTATTTTATGATTGGACAATTCACACCAATTGACCTAGTCCCATGCTAAGCTGGTAAAGCTTGTGTTATGGGTACTAGGCAACGGATATACATACATATTATAGATATATAGACATATAAATACATATTTAAACACCCAACACCTAAGCACAACACCAAATGCTCATCACATCGATGTTTGTCTCAGCCGGGGATCGAACACGGGACCCATGGATTCGCAGTCAGGGGTACTAACCACTAGACCAATGAGCCGTCAAATTTTAATGTTCATTTATAGATTTTGCACCACACTACATCATATTTACTAGGCCCATCTGATGTTTAGTGATACGGCCCTTGGACACTAAATGTCAGAGGGCTCGCGAGTGCGGTGCCGCCCTTTTAAGAATTGATACTTATAGAACTGGCTGCAATCGGGCAGGAGACTAACGTCATGCAGCCGCCCATGCACACTTTTAATTCGACTAAGGAGCGTATCAATTCTCAAAAGGCCGGCATCACACTCGCGAGCTCCCTGGCAACGAATGTCCATATACTCTGCGGTACCACTTAACATTAAGCGATCCTCCTGTACGTATGCCCCGTTCTAAAAGTACCGATTTTTAAATGCCGACAACGCACTCGCGAGCCCTCTGGAATTAAGTGTCCAAGGGCTGTATCACTAAACATCAGATGAGCCTCCTGCTCGATTGCCCACTGTTCTATTTTTTTTTAAATTATTTATCGGCAAATATGTTTTTCAGGAAACCGGCTTCATCAGTTCAATATACTTCGGTGAAGAGCCTTCATGGTCGAAGAACATGAAACGAGCGATTTCCATCAACTTTCAGTTGAAGAAAGATTTAGGGTCATACACCAATAACGAGGTAATTGTATTATATTTATACTATATGTGAGAGGTAAAAATATGATAAGATTTCAAAAAAAATGGTGCGTGTACTTATGTACGCGCGTAAGAAGTTATACTTCTTTGGCTTTCTTTATTTTTTTTAAATATTAAATAATTATTAATAAATATTTAACGTTAATAATTTAATAATATTTAGTATATTATTAAATTATTAATTAATAATAATAATTATTATTACTTATTATTTTATTATATTATTCATTCAATTTAATAACTAGGTATGTTTCATAACCTTTTAACTCAGTAACAATAGGTCTTTGTGAAAAAGCATTGCTAAATTTCTTTGAAAAAATAATTAAAACTCCTTTATTTGTTTAAAAGGTACTACAAAGGTCATTATGGTCATTCGAAATTCTTGGCATAGCTGCTAACGTCACGCATATTCTATTTCTTTTTACTTGTAGATTGTCTTATTCCCATCTCGCTCGCGCACGCTCGGCGCCCGGCTGGTTTAAAAAGAATTCGTTAGTGGGCAACTTCATTCTGATAATTTTGTGTCACGATGCGCGCGCATCGTAAAATTTCACTCTCATCAATTTTTTATAACGCGCCTAAAGGAGTATAACTTCAAAAATATATATAATAGCAAAAACAAAAGCTGGCGCTGCCGCAGAGCCGGCGGAAAATAATGAACGGCTTAAATATAAGTATTTCCTCCAACTTCGGTTGTGTTCCCTTTGGAGTAGAGACTCTTGGGCCGTGGGGTACAAGTCAAAATCAAAGGGATCGTTCAAGTAAAAAACGTACGTAACACGTAACAAATTTTGGAGGTGGAAGTGGGGGTTGGTCCTTTGGTAAAACATTACGATGCGTGTTGGGGATTGAATTACGCGTTATTGTTAATATTATTTTCGACTTTTCAGTACTTTACACAACATAATGGTAACTTTTAGGTATAAAGAGTCACTAGGTGGTCACGAAACGTTTTATTATACTTGGGTACAGAAAAACGTTACGGCGCGTTACATGGGGGGTGTCAATAATCTCCAAAATGCGTGAAATATTGCGTGACGTAAATACTTGAACGCTCGGTAAAGTCAAAAATCATTTATTTATTTACTAATTAAATGCTTCAATTTTCACATTTAGGGCTAGAAGGGAAGGGAACATGGCAATAAACTCTCCGCCACTCTTTTTTATTCAAAAAGTTTTTTGTTTTACAAAATGTTTGTATGGAGCTGCAAACATTACACCATGTTCCACATGACGTCTTTAAGTAATGAAGTATAATTATCAGGAAGGATCATTTAAATATTCGTCAAAATTATGAAAGCTTTATTGTTTCATTTACCTTTAGCGAGAGCTTTGAATTTATTAAGTGATAATTATCTAATTTCGCTTGAGAGTTTGTTGTAAAAACGAATACAATTTCCATATAAGGAGTGGTTTATCTTCTGGAGCACGGGTGGTCGTTGCAACAGTATCTGTTTTATTTCAGTCAAATTACTTTTAACCATAAAAAATTATACATTCAAATGTGTGTTTGAGTACATACAAACGAATGCAGCCGCCAGCTGGAGACGTAAATATATAATAACTTTTTGGACGCTTTTCAGCCATGCCTATACGCTCTATGCGTAATGGTGTACACAGCTCGACGGAACACAATTAAAAAATACAGCAGTCTCCAGCGATCTTCATCTGGAACTGAACATACCTGGAGCTCCGTGCCCTGGAGCAATGAGTATGGGCGCGTGGTGAGGCTTTTTAAATTTTATTCCTGAAACTATGGATACTTAAAATATCAAACGATAGAATAGATTTCTCAGTTATTTAAATATCTGAGCAAAATTAAACAAATTTAACTTATTTACTATATAAAAACAATATATTAATTTAAAATATTAAATTTATTAAAGTTATATTTGCTAAGTGTAATCAAGATGGCGCTCATTTTAAGTGACTAATCATAATTAGGACAATAAATCAAACTAATTTATATATTTTTTAGACAAATTTCGAAGTAATTTCTAATAAATTAAACATTATTACATTTCTAATGAATATAAAATATTCTTGCCTGTGCCTAATTGGCAAAATTGGCGGGAAATAATGCATAGAGACGCTAATCCACAAACTATGTATTCTATCCAAATGTCCACAGTACACAATATAAAATATCCTTAATTGCCTGTGCTTTGTTGGCAAATTGGCGGAAATGAGTGTGTAGTGACGCTTTGGCACAGACTATGAACTCTAAACGTATCATTATCTGTGTTTTTTCTTATTTCCAGCCTGAAAACGTAGCGACTTCCGAACGTATTTATGAATTGGATGAGCACGGCCTCACCAGCCTTTATATGAAAGGCGACTTCCGGTATAAAGTGAATGAACACATTCTTAGTGTATCTTCAGAGTAAGTGAATTCAGTAAAATTATGTAATAGGAGCCAAACGGGCAGGAGGCTCATCTGATGTTAAGTGATACCATCGCCCATGGACACTCACATTGCCAGAAGGCTCGCAAGTGCGTTGCCGGCCTCAAGAATTGGCAGCTGGTTCCACATAGTGGTGGTGCGCGGCAAAAACTGCCTTTAAAAGCTAAGTTGATGAACGACGGACGTCGAGGTGATACGTATGATATTTTGTATTCTGCCTTGACGTCCGATCACGTAACTCAGCAGGCATCAGTCTCCTGTGCCTGACGTGTCACCTGTTGTTAGACTGACCCAGGTATCGACACTTTTTCCTGCTAAGCATGAACAGTGAACTATAAAGTTAATTGAGCTAACTTCTTCTTTATCGCCTTTTTCATTACTGAATCTCGTATTGGAATTGCATTCCTCCTTGTCTTGTCCACCGAAACTTCTACTTTACCGGTCACCATAAGCTTCTCCAAGTTATCTGGACTTCTGCTATTTGTTCAAAGAAGTCCAGGATCCTTTGGTTACACACTGTTGTCTGACAATTGATAAATAAGTCCTTTTCGCTGTCCAGCGAGTCCTGATCATCGGCCTCCAACACCACATTTCCAGGGCATCTATCCCCCTTTCGGATGCTTGCACAGTCTCCAAGTAATCAGGATCTCTGCTATTTGTCCAAAGAAGTCCTGGATCCTTTGGTAACACACATTAAGAAAAGGTTGTCACTAGTAGTTGTCTGAGAATTTCGCTTTGTCCTTTAGCATTTCCAAGGCATATATCCACCTCCTTTCGGATGTTCAGTCCAGGTTTCAGTCACGTATAAGAAAATGGCGAACAAGTGTCTCGAATCTTTTGATGGCGTAGGCTTGCTCTTTCGCGAATTTCGTAAACGTTTTTGACATTCATAAGCATGCCCTAAGACGCATCTAAACTGAATAAACGTATTTTGATAGTTTATAAAATTAATTAATTTCAGACTGTCATTCTACCTGGACGGGGATTCCCCGGCACCCACTGTCGAGAAGTTAAATGTGACCAGGGATAGCATACAGTACGAGGCCAGCGATTTCAATGACCCCACAAATGGGATACGATACATGAGTGAAGGGAATTTGAAAAATAAAACCTATGAGGTATATATTAAAAAAAAATTGAATAAATTAAAATAAATTGAAAAAGTTTGGTCCCTGTGGTAGTCCTTGTTATCATATCTTAACGCGCCAAAAGAAGTATAACTTCAAAAATGAATCCAAGATTCGATTAGACAAAGACCAGCACTTACCACCAACGGTGGTATGTCATATTACCACCACTGGATCCTTTAATAATGGTGAAAAGAAAACGCGATCTAATATTAATTCTAACTCTTCATCCCTGCGCCATTACGCCGGAACACCTACAATTTCCGGTTCATGTGTCAAAGTCAAAATCGTCATCAAGTCAAGTCAAATAATTTATTTCAATTAGGGTCGATTCGACCAAACTTCAATTTATACACGAGTATATACCAGGAATAATCTATTCCATGATTTTAATCTCGAGTAAATCCATAGTCGTTTCTCCACGTAATCGATAGTATAATTGCGCTAGGAATAACAATACGCGAATAGCAAGAGAATGGTGAACGAAAATAAAACTCGGCAAATAAATGTTGTTCTACAACGGGACAGTGTAAGAGCATACATCATGTCAACTCGATTTTGCCGTATTATAGTGTGAAAAAGTAGCTTTTAACAGGTGTCAAACGACAACAAAAAGTTTTTATTTGTTGTTTGTTTGAGGTTTTCGTCTAAAAAGGAACTTCTGTTGAGCCTAGTTGAATTTCATTCTAATATTATAGAAAATAAAAAATCTAAAAATAAATAAATAAATAATAAATTGTTTAAACGTTTCATTATACAATGCCAGACTATTCATTTAGTGCGTTGCGTTGACTTGAAATTAAAACACAGAATACATATTTGTGAAATGACAGAAATCAGATGATTGGACTGACTGACGCCATTAAATTATTCTAGGAATAGCTGTTATTCCGTGCGAAACGGCAATTCCCGAATAGGCCCACTATTCTTAGAATTTGTAAATGGTAAAACGTAAAATTGATTTACTCTCGATTAACTGACGATTTATTCTAAGATTAAGATTTACTCTTGTTTGGTCGAATCGACCCTTAGACCATCTAAAATGGCATTTTTGAACGTCTTTCTTTGGCTGACACCGATTTAGCGTGAACAATAATAATTAGTGCTTATTCACTTTGGAAAGCGCGGGCGCGGCGGCGGGAGCGGGCGCGGAGAAGTACTTAGACCGCACGTGCGTTTCGTATGTGAACACTTGGATATTACGCCATATGTTTGATATTTCGTAACCGCGCCCGCCACCGCGCCCGCGACTCAACGTGAACAAGTGCTAAGACATAGACATATCATTTATAACAAACAAAAATACACACATAGACACATAAACACATAAAATAACAATAATTAAAGAAAAAAATTAAATAAAAAATATAATGAGAGAGATAAAAAAAAACAATATTATCCTTTTCCAATTCGGTTCGTTCCAAGTGTGTAATGTGTGTGTGTTGTGGTTGTAATTGGCCCTGGCTCAGCATTATGCTGAGGAGCAGAATGTTCCACAGCGCTGCCCTGCGATTCTGTAACTCACTTTTCGAACTCACACAGCGGTTTTCGTATCGGCGGTCGCTCTCAAATCAGTCGTGAAGCAGTCATTTTATGATTTGGCATTCTGAAAAGGTGGAAGCTTGTAGTTTATTGTTTATTAGTATTAGAATGCCAAATCATAAAATGACTGCTTCACGACTGATTTGAGAGCGACCGACGATGCGAAAACCTGTGTGAGTTCGAAAAGTGAGTTACAGAATCGCAGGGCTGGTCATTCTGCCAGAGACCACAGCAGCTAGTTCGCGCCTCAGTCGCAAAAAAAGAAGCAATGTTATAATACTTAGTAGAAAATAATAATAATTACAGGTACTTATGAAGATCGCGAAACGAGGGATAGATGCTGATAATATAGTGAGAAACGAATCGTTAATACATAGCCTGGACTTCATAGATTTGCTCAAGTAAGTAATTTCTATGTAACCAATGTTGCAATGGCCTTTTTATTTATCGCTAGTGCGTTGCCGGCCTTTGATTTTTTTTAATTTAGGGTTACAACCGACAGGAGGCACCTGATATTTAGTGATACCGCCCATGGATATACACTGCCAGAAGGTTCGCAATGCGTTGCCGACTTAGGAATTGGTAGGCTCTTTCGAAGTTGAATTAGTTCGGAAATACTTAAATGGGCAGCTGGTACCACATAGCGGTGGTGCAAAAACTTTAAACGCTCAGTTGTGGAACGACGGACGTCGAGGTGATACGGATGGTATTTTGTATTCTGCCTGATAATGCGTGAAAAATGGCCGAGTCTGAAAGCTCCTGCAAGAAAAATTTGAGCAATATATGATATTGCAATCTAAGTGTGTAGTGTGTAGCATTAGAAACCTCAAAAATAACAGTATTTCTCCATCCATATTTAATGGATGTTATTATACATATAAACCTTCCTCTTCAATCACTCTATCTATTTAAAAAAACCGCATCAAAATCCGTTGCGTAGTTTTAAAGATTTAAGCATACATAGGGTCAGAGACAGCAACATTGTTCTACACTAGTGATAATATGCAGACTATTTCGGAAACAAACACCCACCGCACCGCATCAGACAAAACGCAAGTTGCATATAAGCAACCCAAAACTCGCACTTTTTTCGCCCAACGCTTTTTCTCCTTCCGAGGCCCTTTCATCTTCAACCACTTCCTTAAAAACAAAATTATCACTAACATTTCAAAACTCGTACATACATTTACTAAACATCTCAAACGATATCTTGTTAACCTGTTATCCTATGCTGATACTGAAAATATTCTTATTGTGCGAAAATAGTTTAAATATAAAATATGTATTGTGTAGAAATTATTAAGTAAAATACTGTTTACATGTCAAAAGGAAGATCCTTTTGATTGTATTTTAAATTTTTGTTTCTACATATTTATTTATTAATAGCTGGCCTGGCGAACATCGTACCGCCTAATCCGGCCATACACACTATGGTCTACCGGAGAGGTAATCTGTGAAGGTATGCCTGCGCAGGTCAACCGAACAATGGTAGCGTGTATGGGGACATTCCGGTGTATCGGAGCGGTCTTCAGTTCTCTTTGCGATGGCATGGAATGTGGACGATGACACGCTGGCGTTGCTAGGTCTTGCTTTAATTTTGAAGAAAAATGATACGAAAAACAAGCGAAGAAAGTAGTGTAAGCATTGGTTATTGAAAAGGAAAACATATAGTCATGTTAATTTATTAAATGAATTGAAATTTGAATCAGAAGATTTAAAAAACTATCTTCGAATGGACGAGAAAACATACCTTAAATTACTTGAAATGGTTACTCAAGATGTTTATTTTGACCAAATTCAATGACATAGGCAGTGTTTCCAACATAACAAATCAAAGTTAAAACAAAAGTAATAAATGTAGATACATTGCCGATTACTATCTCAACAACCTGCGCAGGCGACCGGAGTACACGCACACACGTACAGGTACACCGTACAGTGTCACTCGAGAGAATCGATTTTCGATCTTGCGCCGGTCGCCTGCGCAGGTTCAAAAACCTGCACATGCCTATTCCCACACACATTCCGGTCTACCTGGACCTCTCCGGTAGACCGTAGTGTGTATGGCCGGCATAACAGTAGATTCTTTTTTTAATACTTTCTGCTTTCTGCTATTCGAGACACCGGTCTAGCTAGTAAGATAAAAAAAAGAGAGTTGATAAGACCCCCCGAAACCCCTCCACTAACACTTGACCTTTATGATATGGTATTAAAGTTCAAATTGACTTTTAAGTATTATTACGAATCTTTTGTATGGGAATATAGAAAAGTGTTGTTTTTAGACTTTTTCACTCAATTTTTTTTTAAGTTTTTTCTCCGTAAGAACCATCCTCGTACTTCAAGGAATATTATAAAAAAAAGAATTGGCCAAATTGGTCCAGGCGTTGTTGAGTTATGCGCTTACCAACACATTTTGCGATTCATTTTTATGTTATAGATTATTGTTATTTTATCTTTAGATTTAGTAATTACTGCATTACTTTTACTCTATCCTCTGTAGGTGTTTCTTTTTCATTGTTCCACATTAGGGTTGCCTGGCCGCCCATTGCCTTATAACTTTTGTAATCTGTTTTTTATTTTTGTTGTGTATGTTTTTGATTAAGGTAATAAAGTATAAATAAATAAAATAAATAAATAAGGAAGACACTGGCGCCCACAACACAGGGAATCCTAGTGTGGGGGCCAGTGCACTTTATCTAAATATCCTGTATATTGTGCATAGTAAAGTTTTTTCTTTCTTTCTTTCTTACATAACTTTTAAATCTATTTTTCTTTTCAGTACAATTTCCCAACTCTCCCAAGAGTCTCTGACGAAACTCTTCGATGATCTTGTCCTTGGGACCAGCTACGATCTGGAGACGGCCAGAAATATCTTCCTGGAAGTGCTGCCTCACGCCAGGAGCGATGCCTGTGCAAGATTTATAAGATATCTTGTCGTTGAGCAGAAGGTATTTTTACCATACATAACTAGACTGGTGTAATTTTTTTTTTTGACAATTCACACCAATTGACCTAGTCCCATGCTAAGCTGGTGAAGCTTGTGTTGGGTACTAGGCAACGGATATACATACATATTATTATAGATAGATAGATATAAATACATATTTAAACACCCAAGACCTAAGCCCAACACCAAATGCTCATCACATCGATGTTCGTCTCAGCCGGGGATCGAACCCGGGACCCATGGATCCGTAGTCAGGGGTACTAACCACTAGACCAATGAGTCGTCAATTCAATTCTGATGTTGGGGTCTTGAAAGTTGAATCATTTATTTCAATTAGGCCAAATCTAGTTGATAAAAAGGTCTGGGACTAGTGCTAGACAGGCTACTTCTAATTAATTTGCGATATTTGTTTTAAAATAAGTGTTGTTTGATGATTTGCTATTTTAAAAGAGTACCGAGAGTTTTTACGCCGGCTTTTTCTTTCCTACACGCTCTGTCTTCTTTGCCGATGAGTAGGGATGTCTACCGATTCAAATTTAATGACGTGAAATACGTGATACCTGTATCTTATATTCCATAATAAGCATATTTTTTTTTATTTTACTAAAAATACACTTTTGAAAGTTAAAATATTAAAAAAAATGTGTGCGTGTACTAGGTGTACACACGTAAGAAGTGAAACTTCTTTATGACCTTATTAGAAACTATTTCTTTAAACACAGTAAATTTTGATACACTTCCTAGCATACAATTTACAAATTAATTGCTGCAAATTGCGATTAGCAAATTTCAAGTCGAAAATGTAATCCGTTGTCAAACTTCAAAGTCAAAAACATACTATATGTCATATTTTAACGCCGATAAAGAAGTTTGACTTTCAAAAGCAACATGGCGCGTAACGGAAAAATGTTACACTAAATTTTTTTCCAACCCCGATAAAGAAGTTTCACTTCAAAAATTACTAGTTGCCTTCCAAATGGTTTCATATGGAGAGGAATGGACAAGAAACTCCATACTTACTCTTTTGAAAAAGTTTCTACAATATTTTATATCGAAGATTTGATAATGAAGACCATGTACCTAGAACAAAAAAACTACTATACTAAAATAAAATAGGCGCATGGTGTATAAAACAATGCAGTCTCAATCACTCACTCCCTTTTCTTCGACAAAAACGTTGCACATCTTCGTGACGTTCCGTAAAGTTTTACCCTCATGCGCCGAAAGAAGTTTCACTTCCAATATTAAATAATGACATCTCGTTTATTTCAGACGAAAATCGAAGACGCAATCCTTCTATCTCTTATTCGAAAGCTGCCCTTCAACGTAGCGAATCACAGCCAGGGTCTTCTCGAAGAATTGGAGACGTTCACCAAACTCGGCCTGGACTTTCCTCTTGATATTCGCCACGCCGGGATCTTGTCCTTCGCCATTTTGGTGTTCAAGACTGCTGAAGCTGGACAAGTTAAGCAGGATTACTTCGATAATGTCATTGTCAAGTATTTTCGGATGTATAGTGGTAAGTTTTTTATGCGACAGTTATTGATATACAAAAAACCCAAGATGCACAGTCTCGAATAAAAGTAACGCTCGAAAGTGTCCCGAAACACTATTTCTGTCTCTTTCTATAAGTTACAAGCATATATTATTGCAAAATCAACCTTACGCAAATTATTTAAAGTTGTTATTACAACGCAGTGTACTTAAAGCAATAAAATTTTACGACCGACCGTGGTCGGTAGGACAAGGTATTGAGTGGAGTCGAACATGACTTTTTTTTCATTATAATATTTATAAATTTTTATTATCAGACAATCGTCCATTGATTGATGTTTAAGTTGTTAGAGAATTAGTAAAAATAAGGAAAAAGAAGTTAAATAAAAACTATCAGGTACAAAGCCCTGCGGAGATGTCGGAGCAGTGTCGTAAATAGGGGCACTCCATTCTTTCGACTATCATCCGTAAGATGTTGCTGGAGCTGCCCCGCACCCGGCGCACCAAAGAAGCGACCGCTTTGTAGTGCGAAAAACAATCCCACCCGCGCCTCTGCAAACATTCTTGATGCACTGCATTTAGTATACATTACTATTTAGTATTTTAAGAGTTTGTTAAATTGTGTTTTAAACACATAAATATACTTTTATTTGTGCATAAATATGTTTTCGGGTAGCCTATGGGTATATCAAAAAAACAAATAATAACTGTTAAAATTGTTTATTCAAATATTTGGTTCAAAACGATAATGATGAATGGTATTTATTTTGCAAAAATCAAATCACTTTTAAAGCACTTTTAAAGTACATAAATTTATTTATAAAAAAAAACACAAATAAAAAAAATCGACTCCACTTATTAGAACAGGGTCATTTTTATAATGCGACTAAAATAAAAAGAAGACTATAATGCGTTGTTCTAATACTGAACAAGCAGCCATTGAAGTTGGCCGTATAGAAGTTTGTGCGTTGAATGAAGTTTTTAGAAAAAATAATTAAAAATCACACATTGCTTGTTATAATCAGTCATAAAAACAACAAAAACTAATCAATAAAGTTTTTTAATTACCGAAGATACGATTTCCCATCCTTTTTTAGCCTTCTTGACGTAATATTTTTACAATTTCTCACAGAACACTTTGGCATTTTTAACAACTGCTCCCAGACGCGAGCGACGCGAGACTATTTGAAATGAGCGCACAATTTAGAATGTTGCGCTCATTTTTGCGGACGTTTTTTAGACGTTGAGTGTGCATCTTGGGTTTTTTGTATATCAATGGCGACAGTACAGGTTTTGAAGTGCTTACTACTGTCATCATACATGGGTACCTGTAAAATTGGGGTGTTTGCGTTTGTGTTGCCGTCGTTTGAAGGAATCCAGTCACAGGTTCTTCTGATAATGACGATTTATATACCATGTATACCAGACATTTAGTTGCTAGTTTTTTTTTTATATTACAATTATTAGGAAAGTCGATGAAATGAAAAAGCGACAGTAATAAGAAACAGTCACATAAATTTATGGGTTGGAGAAAATGAGATAGTAAGAAAAAACGTGGTATTTTAATTTTCTATTCGTCATTTGTGGTTTCAATAAATTATTTTGCGTAAAATATAAAATACTAATATTTCATAAATTCTCTTAACGAAATTTTAAAAATTGAATTCACTCTCTCAATCTTTCTCAATCACTCTCAAAAGACGAATCGTAAAAGGACGGCAACGCACTAGCGAGCCTTCTGGCAATGTGTGTCCATGAACGGTATCACTAAACACGAGGTTCCTTTTGTCCGTTTGCCCCTTGTTATATACAATATACATATACCTATAAAAAAGAAAACAGTTCCTAAAAGGCCGGCAACCCACTTGCGATCCTTGTAGCAGTGTGTTTTCAAGGGCGGTATCACTTAACACCAGGTAACTCCTGTCCGTTTGCCCTCTGTTACATATATAAATAAAAAACAATTCTAAAAGGCCAGCAACCCACTTGCGGTCCTTCTAGCAGTGTGTTTCCATGGGTGGTACCACTTAAAACCAGGTTCCTTCTGCCTGTTTGTGCCCTGTTATATATATATAAAAATCAATTCCTAAAAAGCCGGCAACGCATTTGCGAGCCTTCTGGCAGTGTGAGTTTCCATGGGCGGTATCCCTTAACATCAGGTTCCTCCTATTTATCCCCTAGTTCATACGCTGCTCGAAGGTTACTCTCAGGCGAAGAGAGAGTAGAGAAAGAGAGCTTGTTGACGCTGGAGTTAATGAGAGGAGTTCATTATTTATTTTATTTATTTATTTTTTAGACAATTCACACCAATTGACCTAGTCCCATGCTAAGCTAGTGAAGCTTGTGTTATGGGTACTAGGCAACGGATATACATACATATTATAGATAGATAGACATATAAATACATATTTAAACACCCAAGACCTAAGCACAACACCAAATGCTCATCACATCGATGTTTGTCTCAGCCGGGGATCGAACCCGGGACCCATGGATTCGCAGTCAGGGGTACTAACCACTAGACCAATGAGCCGTCAACTAAAAAAATATATATTTTCAGATTGTCCACAATATCTGGATAGAATGATCTGGCTGCAAGGTCTGTGCAGTTTGGGTTTCGGCGCAGAAGCATATGTTCGGACGATATACAGTGACGCGTCTAGGAATAGACACGAGCGTCTATGGTCTTCCATGGCTTGTGGACAGGAAGCTAGAGGGTATATGGTATGGCTATATGTTTTTTAAACATAATATATTAATTATTAATATATAAAGCACGACTGTTTTACTATACCTGTAATATATTTTAGAATTATGGCAAAACATTTTATTATAAAAAAAACACGAGGATGTCTTTATTCTACGGATATTATTTCGTGTTCAATATTAGTAATACTATGTAGTTTACCTAATTTAACTTTCCTGAAATAGAAAGCAACAAACATCAAGGTCGTTTCAGTTTAGATTGTAAAACCAAGTAATCATGTGTGACAGTTTAAAAACAAATAAAGAGTGGTAACAATATTATATCCCTGTTTCACCAAGGTCATAATATTTCCGCTAAAAGAATGGTAATACATTATTACGTTCTAGACATTCGTCAAAATTACCGTCGTAATGTGCGGTTACTTTGTCATTCGTAATTATGTTTAAACAGTAAATTACTGTACATTTAGTTATTTTTAAACTATTTACACTAAATATATAACAATAATTATTAAATCGTTGATTAAAAAAAATAGTAATATATTTCATTTGATATACAAGTAGCGGCACGAAACTAGCGCTGACCGTTATTGCGCAGAAGTAAAAAATAAGGTACCTGAGGGGGGCTAGCGGAATGAAGAGTTTCGATTGGCTCTCCAGTCGCATTCCGTCCCCCGCGCGACAGTTCACATGCGCAGCAATCCCCTCCACGTATCGGCCAGCGCTAGACTTACGTGCCGCTGCCTATACATATATATTTGTACACATTATGTACTTAGTATCCTAGTAAAAAACTCAAAAACACAATAACTTCATTCATTTAGGTAACCAAGTACACTTATGAACGTCAACAGATGTTAAATTGATTCTAAATTTACATTTACTACCAGTTCGCAAGTCAAGGGCGTGGAGCGGGCAAGAAGAGCTGGCAAGAAACCCTCCGCCACTCTTTAATCGCCAAGTTCTTTATGAAATATTTTCATTTACAGGCGCTACAGGCCCTGGAAGTGAGCCTTCCAATCCTAACAAACGAAACCGAGCATATACAACTTCGTATCGCAGCGTTGCACGCGATTCTACGTTCGGAAATACAAGCTACGGATTTCCTCTTTATCCACAATTTCATAACCAGCTCCGATGATGATCAGCTCAAGAGGTTCTGGTACTCAACGGTGAAGAGCCTCGAAGCCAATCGTTTCTTTGAGGGATATCGTTTTGCGTAAGTATTTTTTGAATACTTCTTTAGGCGCGTTATGAAAAATTGATGATAGTGAAATTTTACGATGCGCGCGCACCGTGACACAAAATTATCAGTATGGGCGCCGAGCGTGCGCGAGCGAGATGGGAATAAGACAACCTACAAGTAAAAAGAAATAGAATATGCGTGAAGTTAGAAGCTATGTCAAGAATTTTGAATGACCATAATGACCTTTGTGGGACCTTTTAAACAAATAAAGGAGTTTTAATTATTTTTATTCTTAGGCACACTTATGAACGTATACATTCCAGTTCCTATATCGTAGATAGTCGTATAACCTGCACTAACCCCCACTAATACCAGCAAAGGTACACTGCCACATTCAATACCGTCTTCACCATAAGGGCACACGGGGCCCGTGCCCAGGGCCCCCATACTCAGGGGGCCCGAAGGACCGACAATTTCCACATAATATATCATACTGTATTTGATCACTTATAATAAATTGTCATAGTTAGACTTAGTCAATTTTTTTTAATTATAATTAGCTTTTTTTACTTCCCAAAAGGGTCCCAAATTCTTATTTTCTTGTGTGCCAATGGCCCCAGCCTAGTTTAAGACGGCCCTGGCCACATTGACCAAAATGTTTAAGATTGTTTCAATTTTCTATTTATTAATATTTTTATTATTATTATAACTATGTGGGTTAATAATAAATAAAATTCATTTTCACGTAATATACAGATATCTCAGGCCCAACCAGAATTTTATATTACAATAATTCTAATATAACTTTCTCGTTTCCGATAGTGTCCAATAAGTCAGCTAGTCCTATATTCTTTATAGGTAACAAAAGTGTGATTTAAGAAGCCTTCTAAGTCAAGTTAGTTTTTTGTTAGTCCAGCGTAGCAACCCCACTACCCCTAATTTTAAGTTAGTTAGTTATAAACTCTTGTTTTAAATGATTAAAGAGAGTTGACACAAGCTTCAAACAAAGAGTTTCATTTATTTGAACATCCCTTCAATGACCGCCACCGAACTTAACTCTTGTGTAAATTTTGTGTAAATTTCATTGGTTATGCATTCATGTCAATTTAGGGTCACCTGTTAGGACAGCCCTGCGATTCTTAACTCACTTTTCGAACTCACACAGCGGTTTTCGCATCGGCGGTCGCTCTCAAATCAGTCGTGAAGCAGTAATTTTATGATTTGGCATTCTGATAAACAATAAACTACAAGCTCCCACCTTTTCAGAATGCCAAATCATAAAATTACTGCTTCACGACTGATTTCAGAGCGACCGCCGATGCGAAAACCGCTGTGTGAGTTCGAAAAGTGAGTTACAGAATTGCAGGGCAGGATTGTGTTTTTTATGTAAATATTGAATTCATCATATGTATATCGCAGCCAACTAGCTATAATAAGCCGTTCAATTAACAGCCTAGTCTTTTAACTAAACAGCGCCGTTTAACTAGCGGCCTTAAGGAATGTTTAGCTTTGAATAATGTTTTTTTTTTAATGGCTCTGGCACGATTTGTGCATTAGCCAGCGTCAAGTATAAGATTTTTTATAATTCGTGCTTGTCTTTTAGAAATTCGACCGTGTCCTCCATGTACGGTTTAAGCACTCGCCCGGTACCGCACAACCCTCCCAAAGGCCGAGAACAAATTTAAATTAAATTAAAACTTGCCCTCGAACCGGGAATCGAACCCGGTACCCCTCACCTAGCTGCCACTTAATATTGAATAATGTTTAGCCTAGTCGTACGATAGAGTGATCATGTGTCAGAAATAAAAGAGATGAAACATATTTCTTTATAAATGAAATTGCTTGAGTCAGTCACAGCTAAAGTCACATTATTATTGTCACTACAGTTTTCCATTGTGCTTGGTATGTTTTATTAAACTTTGGAAAACACCATCAAAGATGTGATTTGCCGACACCATATTGACAGCTTGAAGGGTTTCGTTTCGAGTTTGAGAGTGGCAGAAAGTGAAACTAAATTTAAACTAACAGTCAACAGGTTAGACAAGTTATGAAACGTCATCGATCCAAATCATTTGCCTAGCTGTTTGATCAACTGTCTAAATATGTTTGAGGCCGCTTGTTAAACGGTGCTGTTTAGTAAAGAGGCTAGGCTGTTGATTGAACGGCTTATTACGCTAGTTGGCTGCGACATATATATAATATATATTATTATTAATAATGTTTTAGATCTTACTACATCCCATTCGTAGCGAAGCAAGTGACTAATCCAGACACAACATATTGGGCGACGAATAACTACATAATCACCAATGGTGATGAGTTTGGGCCATCACTGCAGGTGTTCAGCATTGGTGAAGAGTTCAGTGCAATGCCTGCGATGGCTGGGGTCACCTTAAGTTCGGGAGGGCGTCGACCTTATGACACTTCGGTAAGGAAACTTGGAGCATTAGGTTTTGTAGCATATAATCTTATATATAAAATTCTCGTGTCACAATGTTAGTTACCATACTCCTCCGAAACGGCTTGACCGATTTTTATCAAATTTTTTATGGATATTCAGTAAGTCTGAGAATCTTTCAACCCCTAAGGATAAGGGGTGTCCACCCCAAAAAATTTTTTTTTATTGTTTTTTTATGATACAACATACAAAAATTATATAACCCCTAATCTTCACCCCTCTACGATTAACCCCTATTTTTTTTTATTTATTATTGTAGATAGCTATTCTTATTGAACTAAAAAAATGTTTCCTAGAAATAATAATATACATGGCAAAACAAACGTTTTCCGGTCAGCTAGTTATAAATAAATTTCAAATATTTATAATCTAAAACTAAACATTGAGCAATGTTGACCACTCTCATGAGGTCGTAGGTTCGATCCCCGGCTGTGCACCAATGGACTTTCTATGTGCGCATTTACATTCACTCAAAGGAAAAGCTAGTGAAGAAACCGGCTTGCCTAAGACCCAAAAAGTTGACAGGAACAGGTTGATCGTCTATTTGCCTATTAGATTGAAAAATCATAAATCAGATACAGAAATCTGAGGCCCAGACCTAAAGAGGTTGTAGCGCCACAGATTTAAACGTGAAGTTCTGTTCTAGAAGATAATTATTCCAACATTACTATTCCCATGGACACTCTTGAAGACAAATACACCATAATGTATATTTCAAATGCTTTATTTCACAGATTTATTTTATAGCTGAAGGCGTGTCTTCTCATATATTTAAAAAGATGCGTAGTGTCTCAGCAGATCTGAATGTGGAGACTCTGGTAAAAGTTTTGGAGAAGATGAAAATTTGGACATTGAAGAGTCCACAAGAAGTAAGTAAGAAGAACTTCTGATATTTCGTTTTGACGGTACCCCTAGACCATTATTTAATTTCTAAACAAACTCTTCGCCGTGTTGGATTGAGCGCATTGACACATTTATTATGAAAGTTAATTTATATTTAGCCGCTTAAAAACAATGCTTTTAAGGCACTATCTGCCACGCACCACCTCTTTGGTTTTTCTGTGTGTTTGACGTTTTTCTTTGTGTTCGACGTTTTTCTTTGTGTTCGACGTTTTTCTTTGTGTTCGACGTTTTTCTTTGTATTCGACGTTTTCCTTTGTGTTCGACGTTTTTCTTCGTGTTCGACGTTTTTCTTTGTGTTTTGAAAATTTCCTGAGTTTCGTTAACAATTTCCTAGTGATTTCTCCCTAACTTATTCAGTTCCTTAAGAGAACAATTATATTTTTAATATTAAAAATTATGTATGGTACGACATAAGAATTTTGGAAAGGCATGGGAAACACTGCATTCTGATGCCAGTCTTTAAGCTTATAGTCCCACCAACTTATCTGTGATTTCAGTGGTAGCACCACCGTTGCTTTAGTGTTGCAAATTAATAAAGTTACCCATGATTGGGTATGTCAGATAAGAAACTAGGTATACATATAAACATAATTTTATTATTTTAAACAATACCTAACATTGTTTTATAATAATAAAATGGTAATAAAAGTACTAAATAGTCTTCAAAAATAAGAAAATGAATGTAGGTAGATACATACATTAGCTTTTTCTCTGGCATTCAATTGATATAATGTAGGTACCCCACTTACAAACTAAATGTTTAGCAAAGTAGGCAAATGAAATTGAATAACTTGCAAATAAACTTCTTCTTCTTGCCCTTTTCCCACTCTAGGAAGTTATATTTAAAAAAAAGTGGAGTGGAGAGAATTTACGCTAAGCCAAACGTAGGTACCTATGCGGGAGAGCCCCTCAGATTATTCCAGCGTTATTTTTACGGAGGAGAAAAAAAGGAGGTGGAACACCCCGCCTTTATAAGTTTTTACAGTTACAAATGAAAAAAATATCGGGTAATTAAAAAAATTAGGCAAAAGAAACTAGACAACACTAACTGTACCTGCCGAAATTCAACATGGCGGCTGTAGTCCTTTTCCTTTCCTTTCACAAAAAAGGGAGTGTTCAAGTATTACGTAACGAATTTTTTTCCTTTTATAAAACGTTACGATGCGGGCGGGGATTGAATTACGCGTTATTGTTAATATTATTTCCTGCTTACACCACATAATAGTAACTAAAGAGTCACTAGGTGGTCACGAAACGTTTTACTAGACTTGGGAACAGTACTATACTTGGACACTGAAAAACGTTACGGCGAGTTACATGGGGGAAGGGGGGTCAGTAATCTTCAAAAATTGCGTTACGTAATACTTGAACGCTCCCTAAGTTGGTGGGTCTGTAAAGGACAATTAAATAATTGTATGTTTTTTTCAGGTACATATAGATATAGTGATAAAGGTAGAAGACAAGACAGTATATGCAACGCACATCAACCAATCAAGATTTGAGACCTGGAACGGAATGGAAAGTATGAACACATCATTATAAAGAGGATGTAGTGACGAGGATACGAAAGAGAATGGGATGGTAGAATGAATTAATGAGAAGCAGTTACCAAGTAGACCAAGCAACCGTGGATGGTGAAGTCAACTTTGTAGGCCTGGACCAAAGGACGTACTAAGGGTGAGATCTATAGTGCGCACTTAGACTTTGCTCTGACTTAACTATCGAGCTAAGACACAGTCGGTATTTATAGAGCAAACTACGAATCTCTCCCTAGTGTTGGCTTAGCTTAACTCAAGTCCACGAAATCGACGACTTACCAAAAACTTTGACTATAAGCCTAACAAAAATAATGGCCCAAAATTTGCTTTTACCATCATATCTTTTACTGGACTTTTTATTTTTGTCGGTTTTTAATGAACGGTGTTGCCATTGTTCGGAGTTCCATAGACTTTGGGAAAAATAGAATTTGAATTCAAAGAAATTATGATCTTGATAAATACCTATGAAATGCATGAAATAAAATAATTAAATTATATGGTATTTATTGTTGTTTATTTATATTATTTTAAGTCAAACCCCATTTTTGAGAAACTTAAAAATAACTGGTGTGATTTTGTATGTCACCTGGCAGCCCTGGCAATTGGCATATATAGTGACAACGAAATTCAAACTATAACCTAACCAAAACATTGCGATCCGTTCTACGTAATAAAATTATTGTCATCTTTAAATAATTAATACATTTTCTAAAGGTTACTCGTGAATTTCTAGTTATTGCAATAATAAAATAAATGAATACATAAATAACAATAAATTGAAGATATATGTGTACCGTTTTAGATTTTTAAATATTTGTTATTGTTAACTTTTTTAAAGGATAATAAACAAAGTATTGCATGAATGAAACATCAATTTGTATTTTGACATTTTCTGTCTTAGCTTGGGCTTAGCTTAATCTCACCGTTAAAATGTCTATAAATACGAAATATAGTTTAACCTTAGTGTACACTAAGCAAAGTTTTTCGTAAGGTAAGTCTGAGCAAGTCCAAGTGCGACTATAGATCTCACCCTAAAAGTACTTAGCATAAATGGTGAATGTAATGAAAGTGGATGAGAACATTGTGATACGAGAATTTTATATATTAGATGTTCATAACGCCATGTTTTCTATAGATTGTCAGTATTCAAAAATAATACTTTATTTTTGAATACTGACAAATTATTAAACTCTTTATTGTATAATTAATGTTGATTCTAATTTCAGTGGCAAAATCAATAATGGAGTTTCTAAGATTCGGAAGCCATATCAACCAACAGATGGTCTACTATCCATCACAAATGGAGATGAATGTACCGAGTGAGCTGGGTAAGGGTTTAGGATTTTTTTTTCTGGCAATTCATCGTATTTCCGTGTTGTAGACAAATTAAATTCTGAAAAAATTGTCGATTTGACAACGCCCTTAAAAGTGTTTACTGTTGTTTTTGATGTGAAACTTCTTTAGGCGCATGAGGGTAAATTTTTACGGAACGTCACGAAGATGTGCAGCGTTTTTGTCGAAGAATAGGGATAGAGCGATTGAGACCGTTTGAGAGAGAGTGGGAAGGGCGAATTATTATAGAAATTATATTTTTTAAATTAAAATTTCGTAAAGAGAATTTATGAATTATTAGTTATTATATTTTATGCAAAATAATTTATTGAAATTTCAAATGACGAATTGTAAATTAAAATGCCACTGGTTTTTAATCACAATTAAATTAATTAAATTCCTAACTTCCTTTTTCCCTCTCTCTAAGTCTCGGATATCTCATGTTTTAGATTTGTATAAATATGAAGAAGACTTAAAAATTAGTTTGCCAAAGAAGTTTCACTTCTGACATGTGGACTTTGTACGGTCGCACTTTTTTTTTATTTGTATTGTTCATACACATATAACAAATATATTAAATCAGAGGTTTAAACAAACACTAGCTCGCTTGAGACGTGTAAATACAAGTCCCATTTGAGTACAAAGGCGTTTCACGAAACTTTTGCAAGCGATAAATGAATTTCAACCTTATATTTCACCATTTATGGCAGCTATTTTAATCCCCAACACGAAATACTCTCAATCCCGGGACGCGTTCTTTTACACATGTGTGTGAGTGAAACCTTTGCAAGCGGCAAATGAATTTCAACCTTATAGTCACTGAATACGGTAGCTATTTTAATCCACATCACGACATATTCTCAATCGCGAGACGGGTTCATTTTAACATGTGTGAGTGAAACCCTTGCAAGCGATAAGTGAATTTCAACCTTATAGTTACTGAATACGGTAGCTATTTTAATCCACAATACGAAATACTCTCAAACGCGAGACGCGTTCTTTTACACATGTGTGAGTGAAACCCTTGCAAGCGATAAGTGAATTTCAACCTTATGGTCACTGAATACGGTAGCTATTTTAATCCACAACACGAAATACTCTCAAACGCGAGACGCGTTCTTTTACACATGTGTGAGTGAATCCCTTGCAAGCGATAAGTGAATTTCAACCTTATGGTCACTGAATACGGTAGCTATTTTAATCCACAACACGAAATACTCTCAAACGCGAGACGCGTTCTTTTACACATGTGTGAGTGAAACCCTTGCAAGCGATAAGTGAATTTCAACCTTATAGTCACTGAATACGGTAGCTATTTTAATCCACAACACGACATATTCTCAATCGCGAGACGCGTTCATTTTAACATGTGTGAGTGATACCCTTGCAAGCGATAAGTGAATTTCAACCTTATAGTCACTGAATACGGTAGCTATTTTAATCCACAACACGACATATTCTCAATCGCGAGACGCGTTCATTTTAACATGTGTGAGTGAAACCTTTGCAAGCGGCAAATGAATTTCAACTTTATAGTCACTGAATACGGTAGCTATTTTAATCCACAACATGACATATTCTCAATCGCGGGACGCGTTCTTTTACACATGTGTGAGTGATACCCTTGCAAGCGATAAGTGAATTTCAACCTTATGGTCACTGAATACGGTAGCTATTTTAATCCACAACACGAAATACTCTCAATCGCGGGACGCGTTCTTTTACACATGTGTGAGTGATACCCTTGCAAGCGATAAGTGAATTTCAACCTTATAGTCACTGAATACGGTAGCTATTTTAATCCACAACACGACATATTCTCAATCGCGAGACGCGTTCATTTTAACATGTGTGAGTGATACCCTTGCAAGCGATAAGTGAATTTCAACCTTATAGTCACTGAATACGGTAGCTATTTTAATCCACAACACGAAATACTCTCAAACGCGAGACGCGTTCTTTTACACATGTGTGAGTGAAACCCTTGCAAGCGATAAGTGAATTTCAACCTTATAGTCACTAAATACGGTAGCTATTTTAATCCACAACACGACATATTCTCAATCGCGAGACGCGTTCATTTTAACATGTGTGAGTGATACCCTTGCAAGCGATAAGTGAATTTCAACCTTATAGTCACTGAATACGGTAGCTATTTCAATCCACAACACGACATATTCTCAATCGCGAGACGCGTTCATTTTAACATGTGTGAGTGAAACCCTTGCAAGCGATAAGTGAATTTCAACCTTATAGTTACTGAATACGGTAGCTATTTCAATCCACAATACGAAATACTCTCAAACGCGAGACGCGTTCTTTTACACATGTGTGAGTGAAACCCTTGCAAGCGATAAGTGAATTTCAACCTTATGGTCACTGAATACGGCAGCTATTTTAATCCACAACACGAAATACTCTCAAACGCGAGACGCGTTCTTTTACACATGTGTGAGTGAATCCCTTGCAAGCGATAAGTGAATTTCAACCTTATGGTCACTGAATACGGTAGCTATTTTAATCCACAACACGAAATACTCTCAAACGCGAGACGCGTTCTTTTACACATGTGTGAGTGAAACCCTTGCAAGCGATAAGTGAATTTCAACCTTATAGTCACTGAATACGGTAGCTATTTTAATCCACAACACGACATATTCTCAATCGCGAGACGCGTTCATTTTAACATGTGTGAGTGAAACCTTTGCAAGCGGCAAATGAATTTCAACTTTATAGTCACTGAATACGGTAGCTATTTTAATCCACAACATGACATATTCTCAATCGCGGGACGCGTTCTTTTACACATGTGTGAGTGATACCCTTGCAAGCGATAAGTGAATTTCAACCTTATGGTCACTGAATACGGTAGCTATTTTAATCCACAACACGAAATACTCTCAATCGCGGGACGCGTTCTTTTACACATGTGTGAGTGATACCCTTGCAAGCGATAAGTGAATTTCAACCTTATGGTCACTGAATACGGTAGCTATTTTAATCCACAACACGAAATACTCTCAATCGCGGGACGCGTTCTTTTACACATGTGTGAGTGATACCCTTGCAAGCGATAAGTGAATTTCAACCTTATAGTCACTGAATACGGTAGCTATTTTAATCCACAACACGACATATTCTCAATCGCGAGACGCGTTCATTTTAACATGTGTGAGTGATACCCTTGCAAGCGATAAGTGAATTTCAACCTTATAGTCACTGAATACGGTAGCTATTTTAATCCACAACACGAAATACTCTCAATCGCGAGACGCGTTCTTTTACACATGTGTGAGTGAAACCCTTGCAAGCGATAAGTGAATTTCAACCTTATAGTCACTAAATACGGTAGCTATTTTAATCCACAACACGACATATTCTCAATCGCGAGACGCGTTCATTTTAACATGTGTGAGTGATACCCTTGCAAGCGATAAGTGAATTTCAACCTTATAGTCACTGAATACGGTAGCTATTTCAATCCACAACACGACATATTCTCAATCGCGAGACGCGTTCATTTTAACGTGTGAGTGATACCCTTGCAAGCGATAAGTGAATTTCAACCTTATGGTCACTGAATACGGTAGCTATTTTAATCCACAACACGAAATACTCTCAATCGCGAGACGCGTTCATTTTAACATGTGTGAGTGATACCCTTGCAAGCGATAAGTGAATTTCAACCTTATGGTCACTGAATACGGTAGCTATTTTAATCCACAACACGAAATACTCTCAATCGCGAGACGCGTTCATTTTAACATGTGTGAGTGATACCCTTGCAAGCGATAAGTGAATTTCAACCTTATAGTCACTGAATACGGTAGCTATTTTAATCCACAACACGACATATTCTCAATCGCGGGACGCGTTCTTTTACACATGTGTGAGTGATACCCTTGCAAGCGATAAGTGAATTTCAACTTTATAGTCACTGAATACGGTAGCTATTTTAATCCACAACACGAAATACTCTCAATCGCGGGACGCGTTCTTTTACACATGTGTGAGTGAAACCTTTGCAAGCGGCAAATGAATTTCAACTTTATAGTCACTGAATACGGTAGCTATTTTAATCCACAACACGACATATTCTCAATCGCGGGACGCGTTCTTTTACACATGTGTGAGTGATACCCTTGCAAGCGATAAGTGAATTTCAACCTTATAGTCACTGAATACGGTAGCTATTTTAATCCACAACACGACATATTCTCAATCGCGGGACGCGTTCATTTTCACATGTGTGAGTGATACCTTTGCAAGCGGCAAATGAATTTCAACTTTATAGTCACTGAATACGGTAGCTATTTTAATCCACAACACGACATATTCTCAATCGCGGGACGCGTTCTTTTACACATGTGTGAGTGATACCCTTGCAAGCGATAAGTGAATTTCAACCTTATGGTCACTGAATACGGTAGCTATTTTAATCCACAACACGAAATACTCTCAATCGCGGGACGCGTTCTTTTACACATGTGTGAGTGATACCCTTGCAAGCGATAAGTGAATTTCAACCTTATGGTCACTGAATACGGTAGCTATTTTAATCCACAACACGAAATACTCTCAATCGCGGGACGCGTTCTTTTACACATGTGTGAGTGAAACCCTTGCAAGCGATAAGTGAATTTCAACTTTATAGTCACTGAATACGGTAGCTATTTTAATCCACAACACGACATATTCTCAATCGCGAGACGCGTTCATTTTAACATGTGTGAGTGAAACCTTTGCAAGCGGCAAATGAATTTCAACTTTATAGTCACTGAATACGGTAGCTATTTTAATCCACAACACGACATATTCTCAATCGCGGGACGCGTTCTTTTACACATGTGTGAGTGATACCCTTGCAAGCGATAAGTGAATTTCAACCTTATGGTCACTGAATACGGTAGCTATTTTAATCCACAACACGAAATACTCTCAATCGCGGGACGCGTTCTTTTACACATGTGTGAGTGATACCCTTGCAAGCGATAAGTGAATTTCAACCTTATGGTCACTGAATACGGTAGCTATTTTAATCCACAACACGAAATACTCTCAATCGCGGGACGCGTTCTTTTACACTTGTGTGAGTGAAACCCTTGCAAGCGATAAGTGAATTTCAACTTTATAGTCACTGAATACGGTAGCTATTTTAATCCACAACACGACATATTCTCAATCACGGGACGCGTTCTTTTACACATGTGTGAGTGATACCCTTGCAAGCGATAAGTGAATTTCAACTTTATAGTCACTGAATACGGTAGCTATTTTAATCCACAACACGAAATGCTCTCAATTGCGAGATGTGTTCTTTTTCACATGTATGAGTAAAGATTAATAATAGACCTTATGATATAAGTATTAAGGGTCTTAAGCATTGATTGATAATAGACGTACTGAAAAGAGAAAGATAGTCGTATTCTTTCTCACTTTCACACCGAAGAAGTAAGTTACAAAAAAATAAAATTAGAAATTTTTGAAAATTTAAAATATTTGGCAGTTCTTAGCTGTTATGCAATAATCATGGTGCGCATTGTTTTATACAAAGTAGTCAATTCGATGAATCCCTATCTGTAGAATTAATAATTAAATAGCTTTATACTAATGGTGATGGAGTAGAATTTTACTTAATTATTAAATTAACAATAGGTACTCTGTGGAGCAAAATATATTTCGATAATAAATACTTATCTAAATATTTATTACATGAAATATTAATTTTCATGAACAGTTATATATACATAATATGTATAAACGAATTTTGTAAGCAAGTTTTAATAATTAATTTTAGCGTAACGCGCCATCTATTGGTAAGTAGGCGAACTATTGTGATTTGATGAAAATATTAACTTTTTAAATACAACGGTACGAAGGGTCTTTGCAAAAACAACACGTATATCGAGGTGTTAGTAATGAATTAAAAGTAATAAGAAGTATAAAAATGCAAAGATAAAAAAATCTGTTTAAATCCATAATCATAGTCTTATTGTGAATAGAATAATGAGTTACGTATTTGTGCTTGATCAAGAGCTTTAAAATCTTTATGAGATATAATCTTATTATTATTATTTATTTGTTCAGACACAAGTTGACAGAATAAATAACTATTTAATTATTTTTAGAGCGCCATCTAATGCCGATAATCCAAATTCCGCTTATACAAAATGTAGTTTTGTTTCATGTCGGGGTATGAAGGGTCTATGCACAAATAATACTTAATCACGTGTATTTGTAATTGGACAAGAGTTTTTAAATCTTTATGGGTAATCTTATTTATTTACAGTAAAGCAATATTGACAAAATATAACTATTACACATCTTTAGTTTAAATTAAATATTAGCGCCATCTATTGCCGCAAGGTGGTAACTAATACTAAACACTTTCATTGTACATTACCATACATTATATAAATATAAATTACAATTGAGGTTACTCAACACGCCCTTACAAAATATTAAAATGTAAAATACATATGAATACTCACGTAAAACAAAACATTTAAAACTGTCTCTGTTTAACACATTGTAAACGCAATATGGCAGAAAGAGACAATCTCTAGCTTATATAAAGAAGCTAGATTACGATATTTTTGTAGACTTAATATTGCATTTTCAGGTACTCCAATTCGCCTACAGTCCCTAAGCATGGGTTTTACCTCTGTTAGAGGTAACCTAACAGCACCAGCTGATCCCACATTGGATCTAGATTGGGAGAACGATTTGCACATTAGGTAAATTAATTATTTATATATTTTAATTAGAAGTTGTAGACGAATACAAAGAAATACTAGGAATTTTTGTAAAACAAAAAATTAATAGAGCGTTTTCTTAAAAGGCCGGCAACGCACTCGTGAGCCCTGTGGCATTGAGTATCCATGGGCGGTAGATATTTACGAACTAATTCGACTTAGGGTCCTTCATGAAAAGAGGGTACCAATTCTTAAAAGGGCGGCAACGCACTCGCGAGCATTTTGGCATTGAGAGTGTCCATGTGCGTTAGTTATGTCCGAACCAATTCGACTTAGGGTTCTTCAAAAGAGCGTACTAATTCCTAATAGGCCGGCAACGCACTCGCGAGCCCTCTGGCATTAACTGTCTATAAGCGGTAGCTATTTCCAAACCCATCGACTTAGGGTTCTTTAAGAAAAAGAGCGTACTAATTCTTAAAAGACCGGCAACGCACACGCGAGCCGTCTAGCAGTGTATGTCCATGTCCAGAAATTGTTGCCGTCATGTGCTTAATAAGATTGTGGAGACCCACCAGCTATAAGCCAAGCACTGGTTCTCAGGAAATTTTTATTAAGCGTCTGTCTGGAACAATACTTGGCGATTAAAAAGAGTGGCGGAAAGTTTCTTGCCAGTTCTTCTTGCCCGCTCGACGCCCTTGACTTGCGAACTGGTAGTAAATGTAAATTTATGATTAATTGAACTTCTTTCTGGCAATTCATAAGTGTACTTGTTTACCTACATGGATAAAGATATTTTGAGTTTGAGTTTGAGAAACATTTTCTACGCTACTCGTAGAGGACGTCCACAGTGAGTTTCCATTGCGGTCTTGAGCCTCGTATTTCAGTTCGCTCCAAGTCTTTCCAGCTCTTTGCCTCATCTACAACGACACCAGATTTCATTTTGCCGCGCTTTCTGGCGGGTTCCAATCAAGCTCCTGCTTTATATGATTGGAATCTCTTCTCCATGGCCTATCCATTTCCTCTCGCGTCGCTTGATCTGCTGGCTCTACGATAAATTAATATTTTTTTTGTTGACAGGTTCCAAGGTACAAAAGTTACATCACTGTCAACTTATGCACCCCTGGTCCAATCCGAGCACACAGGAAGAGTCCAACAATCGCTGGTGGCTCATCTTCCCATCAAGTTTAATGTGACTTGCCAAGCGTCAACGCGGTCTATTGCGTGAGTATTTTTTAGTATTACTGTGACCTGCGGCTTCATCACCTTCCGGACAAGATCCCACACTTTAGCTAAAAACAAATTAAAAGACGCCCAGCAAAACCTCAGATCGGAGTTAAAAACCTTTATCGAAGAACGCGTGGTCCCTTACTTCACTCATTTCAGCTTCCATCCTGCCCTTCAGGCAATTGACCACGGCGAAACCCGAGGTTCAAGTCCCGTAGACGCCCTTGTGCTAGTCCTGGGAAAAAGCTAAAACAGCCAGAGGTAAGCTGTCAAAACCCTTGCTATATCACCCCCAATTCGTTGTAATCTTCCTCAATAACTGGACGAAGAACTTTTCCATTCAAAACCTATTTCGTCAGATCTATTCTGAGCGCAGCCAGGAGGAAAACTTTCAAAAGGAAATGTTTTTCCCTTGTATCAAGAGTCATACCAACCATTGCAAGAGAACCAATGATGAATAGAAGATCGCGTGGTGTGGCGTGCACAAGGCTCTGCTGTTACATCGCCCCGTGTAGAGCGTGTGTTGGTGGCGCCTTGGAGGTTTAGTGGGTTCCACATAACCCTCCGCCCCAAGCACTTGCCCACGCATTTCTTCATTCAAAAAAACTACCTACTCCTTCGTCCCGCTCTGGGCTCTCATTGTAGAATGTACAGTGTGTACCCATTTATCCGCTCAGGTATCCAAGTTAATTAATAATAATTTCTGTGGGCTACAACAAACTCATGCGCCGACTACAATCCAGCTGTGCTCCAATGCCTCAGGCTGCCTGGTGGTTACGTCAGGAGGAGACCACCGTTACTATTCGTACCTTCAGTGAAAACTAACCTCTTGAATAGGGCACATGGCAATGTGGGGCCGTTCAAGTATTACGTAATTAGATTTAATGCAATTTATCCCCCCTTCCTCTTGTCAGCAAAAGTAAGCAAAGCTCTCAAAAATACATAAACATATATATTTTTAGTAGGAATCCTAAAAATGCATTTATTTTTCAAGCATAATAATAACTGTTGACGTAATACCCAAATAAGAATATACAAGCCCCGTTTTTAATTGTCCGTTGACTGAACAAAATGTCTGCATCATGTCAATTCCTATACTGTAAGATTTAATTTTGTGTTGACATCAACAACACATAAAATTGTGTATGTATTGTTTTGTAGTGTAGATATGAAAGCTGCATTGGCGTAATCTGTAATGGTAGCTTAGTTTGTTAAATAAATAAAAATATTATTTTTAAAGGTTTACGTGGTTAAATCCCTTCGCACAGCGAGCAGGCATCGCAATGCACTCCAGGGTACAAATTACGACGGACTCTGCACTTGGAAGGGATTCCTACACTGTATCTTCGAAGCCTATATCTAAAGTAAGTGAGGGATCCTTGTTTTGGGTACTGCGTTGTACTGCGTCCGTACGTACAAAGTACACGTGTCAGAAGTGAAACTAATTTTTAAGTCTTGTTCATATTTATACAAATCTAAAACTTTAGATTTCCGAGACTAAGAAGGAGGGAAAAGGAAGATATGTTAGGAATTTAATGAATTTAATTGTCATTAAAATATTAAAAGTGTAGAATTTTTTATTTTTTTTAAATTTTAAAACTAAATAGGTATACATATTTGTTTTTTTTCCATGGCTATTTGCTTCATGCTATGTTCGCCCTTTCTCACTCTCTCTCAATAGCTCTCTCCCTTTTCTTCGACTAAAACGCTGCACATCTTCGTGACGCTATTACTGCGTTTCATCCGTAAAAATGTTACCCTCATGCAGCATTTCACTTCAAAAACCGTGGCGCTACAACCTTTTAGGTCTGGGCCTCAGAGTTCTGTTTCGTGACAATTTCTAATAGGCAAGTAGGTGATCAGCCTTCGGTGCCCTCGTTTTGGCATTTTTCTAAGGCGTCCTTACGATATTTTTCTTTACCCTACTATCGAGAGTACAAAAAAAATCATGAAGACTAAATCCAGAAACTACCAAGGTCTGGGTCTCCAATTGTATGTTTCGTGAATATTTTTAATAACCAAGTACATGGAAAGTCCATTGCACAGCCGGCGATCGAACCCACGACCTCAGGGATGAGTCGCTAACACCGCTCTGGTTTTGATTTACAGGTGAATAAAAATGGCATATTCTTCGATTGTGAGCAACAGACTTCAGCAGCAGAAGTACTAGAGAAATATTTGATGTCGAAAATAATAAATTACGAGTGAGTTTGATTGAATTTTTGCCAATTTTATCTATTAGTTACCAACCAGTGTACTGTGATATTAATGTTTAAATTTATATGTGTATTTATATTTATAGGCGTGGCGAACATCGTACCGCCTAACAGTCGATTCTTTATTTTTTTTTATTACGCGTTATTGTACTATTCGGGACACCGGTCTGGACTAGTAACGATACAAAAAAAGAAAGTTGATAAGACAACAAATACATTATGTCAAAAAATAAAAATTGTACCTTCCCGGAACCCTCCACTAAACTTGACTTTATGATAATATGGTATTAAAGTTCAAATTGACTTTTAAGTATTATTACGAATATTTTGTATGGGAATATAGAAAAGTGTTGTTTTTAGACGTTTTCATTAAATTTTTTTAAGTTTTTTCTCCGTAAGAACCATCCTCGTACTTCAAGGAATATTATAAAAAAATAATTGGCCAAATTGGTCCAGGCGTTGTTGAGTTATGCGCTTACCAACACATTTTGTGATTTATTTTTATATTATAGAAGATTATAGATAAACGTCAGGAGTATCTGTATAGTATATAGTATATGTTATATATATGTCGCAGCCAACTAGGTTAATTAGCCTTTTAACTAAACAGCGCCGTTTAACTAGCGGCCTGAACCCTGTTCATCAATTAATAATTAGTTAGGATTTTTATTATTTATTTTTACATAGTACTTTACGCAACATTTTATCAAAATTAGGAAGTTATGTCAAACTAAAGGGCGTTTGAACACACTTAAAGTTTTCATGAATATCATACAATTGACGGAAAAACATCAACGATTTAATTGGTTAGAACACCTCTACAATAGATTCTCCGCGTGTTGCCGTGTCTGCGAAACACAATTTTTTATACCGGAATCGAACCCAAAGCCCCAGAAATACCGAGCTTAGTAAGTCACTGGGTTTATTTTTCAATTTGTTTCAGCACTCCCCAAACCCAAAAAACCTTCGTGGACACATTACACCAGCTGACTCCCCTACCAGGTTGTGGACTCATTCTCCCCCCCACAAGGCAGGATCAAGGAGGAGATGAAGTTATACGACTTAAGTTTAGTTTGGGCAACATTTCTTTGGAACGAGTAGATAGTGTTGAAGCCAACTTTGGAGTCGTGTTAAGCTATTATAGGTATAATATACAAATGTATATATATATATGTATATGTACTAAAAAGGTAGGTTAAGTAAAATCACATTCAGGAGAAACGAAGTTCGCGGGGGCAGCTATATATATATTATATAGCTATTTTTGTCTAAAAAAGAAAATTTTGGGGTGGACACCGCTTATCACTTAGGCCTTTGAAAGATAGATAGTAGCCGATGCTCAGACTTACTGAATATGCATAAAAAATTTCATGAGAATCGGTCGAGCCGTTTCGGAGAAGTATGGGAACGAACATTGTAAGAATTTTAAACGGCCAGGAGGCTCACCTGATATGAAGTGATACCCCATGGACACTTACATTGCTAATAGGCTCGCGAGTGCGTTGCCGTTGCGTGACTGGTCGTCGACGAAACTTCTGATAATAACTAAAAGTTTTTTTTAAATTACAGCTTAGATGAAAAGACCGTCTTCTTAAAGATAGATTCTAATACAAAGATAAAGAGTACAGGGAGGAATGTCTCAGCTGAGTGGAACTTATACGTGAAGCAGCCACAAGCAGCGGACCCGAAGAAGACACATTGGAAGGTATATACTCTGTTCAGTTTCTGGATTTTCGATGGTATACAGGAAAAGAGTGGAACTCCTTGCCTATCAATCTTCTCTAGACAGTATAATATGGGTTCATTTAAGCGGTGGTTAACAGACATCTTCTGGACAGTCGCGCCATCCGAAAGTCCATCCACACGTCTGACCAAATCTGTATTTAAAAAAAGGTTTATTTAATTTCATTGAATAGATATTTTAAGCTTATATTAGATAAATGTATATAAAGTAATCATTCAGCTAACATAAATTAATATAATATAAAACAATAAATAACCTTAAAATAATTACTAAAATAAATTATTAAAGGGACTCCCCCTTTAGGCAAGGTTCCGAAGATAGTGGCAGCGTTCCCCCTTTGAATAGCTAAACTAATTCTTTGTCCGAGGTAGCTGCCAGCTCTTCGCTCACCTGGCACCCGGCCATCGAGTAACCTTTTTGATATTTCTTTAAAAAAATAGATTAGTATTGTAGTTATTGCATCTTGAAAAAGTTTTGGATTAAGTCAATCCCAGACCAGACTTCATAAACGTGAAATGTCAGAATTTATCCAAAGAATACTTATTCTTCATCTAGAAGAAAAGCTATTGTATGTATATATATATTATATATGCTCTCAAAGTTCTTCTACTGTCTCTTATCAGCTCTGCTACAAAGAAGATGACGTAAGCCACGCCCCATCAGACGAAGACATCACGACCACGCCCTCAGCCTACGAAGGTCTCGTCACAATCACGTATAGGTCTTCTGATAAATTCGTCAGCTGTTCCACGGACCAGAGCAGCACTATTGAAGTCAAGTACCAAGGGACTCCAAAACACGGGGATGGTGGATTGGAGAGGAATGTGGAGTTTCAGATTGTGGGAGAACGGGTATGTTTATTATTAAAGTAGAGGAAGGAAGAAGTAGGTGCTTCACAATACTCCATAGTAAATATACGTTTTCTTGTAACAAGTTTTCCCAGTTTAAAAACCCGTTGGACACAGCAGTTTCCAGTTAACAATCAGTTTTTAAATAAATAAATTATTATTATTATTAAACACTTAGCAAGTATATTAAATTCCTCGAATTGACAATAATAATAATTACAATTATATAATAATAATAATAATTATTACAATTATTATTATTGTCAATTCGAGGAATTTATTATTATTTGTTTATTAATTGTAATAATTGTAATTATTATTATTGTCAATTAAATATTTTTCGGTCCAGCGAGTATTATCTCTTTCTGTTATAATTTTTTAAAATATCATATTTCAGCTCCACGACTTTGATCTGCTTCCAAAACTGGGTCTGATGGGTGGCACTCCAGCTGGTCAGATCCTCGGGAGTCTTGACAAGGATACTATAAATGCTACAGCAGTTGTCAAGGTGACTCATAATATATAAATTTACTAATTTGAATTTAGGTCTGGGTCTCAGATTTCTGTATGTTTCATGATTTGTCAATCTAATATAGAAGAAGGTGATCAGCTGTGCCTGACACATGCCAACTATTTGGGTCTAAAGCCGGTTCCTCACGACCGAGGAAACCTTTGTATAGATGTCTTTAAAGTCCAGCTTTTTCCAAATATCTCTGACCATGGCAGTCTTTCTCCATTCGTTTCCTGCTAATGCTTCTACCCCTTGGTACTTTCCATATAGTCTTGAAAGTCCAGCTATCATCTGTGCATCTTGATATATGTGGCCCATTGCCACTTCTGTTATACGTCATTTATAACTTTTTTTTTGGTCTTTTACGTGATACTCCGAATTTTATCACTTCTCCTTTACTATGCAAAGTATCCTGCTATGGAATTCCTTACCAATTGATATCAGACGAGCTCAGTCTTTAAATTTATTTAAAAATCTTTTTTTCCATCATTTTTCTTCGTAATTAGCTACTACATAATATATTAATTAACCCTTGGATTAGCTTTTACATTTTTGTTTATTTATTTATTTATTTTTTCTTTAGATTTTACTTTATTTTTGCCTGGAAGAAATCGCATGTTAGCGACAAGGCCACCCGTTGCCTAATAACTTATGTAACCTGCTTTTTTTATATGTATGTTTTTGTATAATATAACGAAGTTTAAATAAATAAATACTCAATGTTCAAATTAGAGTAAGATTGCAGGCGACGTTTTAAACGCTTTTTCAGGAGAAGAACGGAGTAGCATCTCTTGTGGTCAACCATGGACCAGAGATGAAGTTCAAATCGGACAATATTGCGTGGCTGTTGGATAGTGTGACCGGAATGCAACTTATGAAGAAATTTGGATTTTACAGTAAGTGTTCGTGGATTCGATTCCCAGCTGTGCGATAGATTCTAACGATCAGATTTGCTATTTTAAAAGAGTACCGAGAGTTTTTTACGCCGGCTTTTTCTTTCCTACACCCTCTGTCTTCTTTGCCGATGAGTAGGGATGTCTACCGATTCAAATTTAATGACGTGGAATAAGCGATACCTGTATCTTATATTCCATAATAAACATATTTTTTATTTTTGAAGTTATACTTCTTTAGGCGCGTTATGAAAAATTGATGAGAGTGAAATTTTAGGATGCGCGCGCACCGTGACACAAAATTAACAAAATGAAGTTGCCCACGGAAGATGCTACGGCATTGGACATAATTGAAAAACAACATTCGAATACCTAATAATATAATTTATGTTACACTTAATGTAGGAGAATAATAATAAATATTTATTTATTTAATTTTTCAAATGGAAACTCAACTTTATTGACTATAATGACTCCTTTTCGTGTCTTTGATTATTTAATTGTAATTAATTATTTGCATGCAATCAAAAACTATTTTTAATAATGCCAAAGAAGTATAACTTCTTACGCGCGTACATAAGTACACGCACCCTCATTTTTAACAGTCTGGACCGCTAGTTGGCGCTTGCTCTGTTTTATCGACAAGTTGCATTGTCTGTCATGGCGTAGTGATTTTTTCGTTATATATAACTTATATTATGTAGGAAATAAATAAATACTTCCAAATTGTTTCAGGAGAATGCAGGCTTCAAGGTCTAACAGTTCAGACATTATCAGGGAGTGTTGATCAATTGCAACCAATACAATGCGCTGAGACCGTAGTACTAGCGGACTGCTCTGAATTACCAAGGTATAAAATAAACCAGTACTACAACCTTTTTAGGTCTGGGCCTCAGATTTCTGTGCCTGTTTCAATCTAATAGGCAAGTAGGTGATCAGCCTCCTGTTCCTGACTAGCGATTTGGGTCTAAGGCAAGCTTTTCTCACGATGTTTTCCTTCGTTCGAGCGAATGTTAAGTGCGTTATAGACAGTTCATTGGTATACCGGGGTTCGAACCTCAGGTATGAGAGTCGCACGCTGAAGCCACTAGGCCAACACTGCTCTAAACCGATTTTTGGCGTCACGTTACTGATTTTGTGTTTTCTTAATGACAAGAAAGGTTTATTAATGTCGTGATTTTTGAAAAAAAAAACTTAATTTTGAAGTGAATATAAAAAAGCATGTGTGTGTTAGAACCTTCAAAAATTTTGGTTTCAAGATTAAGAAACGTACCTATTCAATTTTAAGTGTAATATCAATTATTAAAAAATAAATAAATCAGTGGCGCTACAACCTTTTTAGGACTGTATCTGTTACAAGATCATTTATTTAATATAGAACGAGGGGCAAACGGGCAGGAGGCTCACCTGATGTTAAGTGATACCGCCGCCCATGGACACTCTCAATGCCAGAGGGCTCGCGAGTGCGTTGCCGGCCTTTTAAGAATTGGTACGCTCTTTTCTTGAAGGACCCTAAGTCGAATTGGTTCGGAAATACTTCAGTGGGCAGCTGGTTCCACATAGTGGTGGTGCGCGGCAAAAACTGCCTTGATAAACGCTCAGTTGTGGAACGGCGGACGTCGAGGTGATAGGGGTGGAATTTCGTATTCTGCCTCGTATTGTCAATCTAATAGGCAAGTAGGTGATCAGCCTCCTGTGCCTGACACACGCCATCGAATGTTTGAGTCATAAAGCCAGTTTCCTCACGATGTTCTCCTTCGCCGTTCAAGCGAACGTTTCGCTCGTCAGAACTGGCTTTCTGACGAGCAGAAAGTCCATTGGTGCACAGCCAGGGTTCTACGACCTTAGGGATGAGAGTCGCACGCTGAAGCCACTAGTGCCCGAACCCAATAATCAATCCACAATCTCAGATTCGAAACAATTTGAGATCAGACCGTGACAGTCGATCGATCTCCTATCTGCATCCCAATAACCAAACCCTACGAAGACAGTCCATTTTTGGCGACGGATAAAATGCTCTTTGTCGTTCCATGTTACCGAGTTTTCACTCTTGGTAATCAATGTAAAACAAATAAAGTAAATAAAACCATACAAATAACATTAAAATATACATGTGTATGTTTAAAACATAAACAGTTTTTTATACATTTAAAAAACTGGTGTAAGTTATAATCTGTTAAAATAATTAACTGTTTAAATCGAGCTTTCGTCAACTGTCACTTTCATACAAAGGTCTAACCACAGACACCGATACGACCTCCCATATCTTGTATCTACTGATGGCTATTACAATCCGTCGATTGGTTATTGGCACATTTGTTACATCTGGATTAAAATTACTATCTCAGATGGTGGATTATAGTTTGAGGTTATTGGGTTCGGCCGTAGGCCAACACTGCTATTTCTTAATGATGTCTTCTTTATTCTTTTTTCAAGTACCTATAAAGTTGTATCAACTACGTTTACAGCTTTGTAATATTACGAGAAAGCGCCGGGCGTATTAAGATGTATGATATTGACCACAGCGCAGGGAATACTACTAAGACAGAATCACCGTGAGTATCAAATTTATTTATTTACAAAAGTACCTACACTATCTTTGCAGCCGCAGGGCAGGGCTGTACTAAACCAATAAAGTCGAAATTAAATATTTAATACTCGCGGCTATTGATAGTAATAAAATTAGTTTTTTTTTTAAATCATTTAATCATATTGGTAACACATTATACACTTATGACTTGTCAGTAAAGAAATACATATTAATGCTTCTAATTTTACATTTAGTGCCAGTTCTCAAATCAAGGGCGTAGAACGGAAGAGAAGAACTGGCAATAAACTCTCCGCCACTCTTTTTAATCGCCATGTTTTTTTTTTACACAACGTTTGTAAGGAGCTGCAACCATTAAACCATGTTCCACATGACATCTTAAGTAATTAATAATAATAACATAAATTAAAAACAAAGAGTTGTCCTCTATCAGCAGGAGGCATGGTGAAATAGGAGCACGCACTTACATTCTCATGGGAACAACACGCAAACACATAGTCGAAATAATTAACATCACCGCATACACGAATTCAAGTACGACCAGTCACCACAAGTAGCACCCGTTCACGAGTATGACGCATGGCCAGCCATGTCATTTAGCCAATTATTGTAATTGGTTAAATTTGTTTATTTTCTCTTCGCGAACGAATCTTTCCTATAACAAAAACGCTCGGTCCTTTGAAATTCGTTATAAAGAGTTTGCACTGTATTTGACAGCACCTACATGTATTAATTGACAATTAACTTTTCCAGATTAATACCAATTAATGACGGCGTCAGAATTGCATCAGAATCAACCGGTGTTTTGATTTATAAGAAACACAATGAGACCGTAATCCTAGTGCCATTCGCCTATATGGACACTGTTTGTGGGGAATGCGTGGGGCTGGATTATAATAATTGCTAGAACAAATACATCACAGTTGTTTGTGGCCGAAAAAAATCAGGAACCATTTAGTTTCGCCTAAATGAATAGAGATTATAAAATGCGTAAGATTATATAACTCGTGGTAAATACGTCTGGTTTTGTATATAGAAACCAAAGTTATTTTAAGATATATTTAAGTATGTTGTAGTAATATATTTGTTAATAAAGAATTTAACATTAATATGTTTCAATAACTCAGCCTCATAAGATATAACCTTTTCGTGTTTAATTCATTGATAGGTAAGACAATGTACACTTATGAACGTCAAAAAAATATATAAAATGCTTCTAATTTTACATTTACTGCTAGTTCTCAAATCAAGGGCGTAGAACGGAAGAGAAGAACTGGCAATAAACTCTCCGCCACCGAAGTTTCACTTCTGACTTTTCACGCACGCCCTTTTTTTATTGGTGACAAATATTTACTAGTTATATTGTAATGACGTACTATAAAGCAAAATGGTTACATATATTACACTAGCAGACCGGCCAAGCGTTGCTGTGGCTAAGGTTTTTGTTATATTACATAGTAGTAAACTATTCAAGGGAAACGGTAGGAGAACACCAGTCATGGGGACCACCATGCTTTTTTGGTGGTAATGTCAATAAATTGTAGCTTATGTGAAACGTTGGTACTTTCAACACAGCGCCATCTGTTAGAATTGTATCAAATAATAAACAAATATTTGCAATAAAATAATATATTCGAGTATAAATTGAGATGTAAGCTATCCTATCTTTTAAGTGAGATCAAACTGCACACGGTGTGCAAATTTGATTGAAATCGGTTTAGTAGTTTAGGAGTCCATAGCGGACAAACAACGTGACACGTAATTTATATATATTAAGATAATCGTTATAAATATAACCCAACTACCTTTTAAATATATATATATGCTTTAGTCATACATCTATATGACAAAATCGTTCAAAGGATGTTCATCCCTTTGATCAGTGCTGTGAGCAAAACACATGGGTGAGTACAGGTTCGATTCTCACACGCATTAATGCTTTTTGCTTTTCACTGTATACAGATTATCTCGTCCTTGGTCTAGTGGTTTCAACTCACGCCTGAAACTTTATTATGAGCAATTAATACGTTCGTACCGTAAAGAAAACTTCTTTGACCAGTGTTTAAACCTTTGTAAAATTTACATACAAATTTTATACATAACTTTACTTTGTTGCTATTTATTGCAATGAAACTAATATGTAGAATAAAACTGAAACATAACAATCAAATATACAGTACTTACAATTATCTTAAACTAAATAAAAATAAAAAATAAATCGGTGGCGCTACAACCTCTTTAGGTCTTGGCCTCACATTTCTGAATCTGTTTCATGATTATTTTTAAATCTAATAGGCAAGTAGGTGATCAGCCTCCAGTGCCTGACACACGCCGTGGACTTTTTGGGTCTAAGACATGTCGGTTTTCTCACGATGTTTTCCTTCACCGTTCGAGCGAATGTTAGCGCATAGAAAGTCCATTGGTGCCGAGGATCCAACCTACGACCTCAGGTATGAGAGACGCCGAAGCCACTAGGCTAACACTGCTCTAGGCCAAACTACATAGCTTGTAGTTTGATAAACAATAAACTACAAGGTCCCACCTATTCAGAATGCCAAATCGTAAAATGACTGCTTCACGACTGATTTGAGAGCGACCGCCGATGCGAAAACCGCTGTGTGAGTTACAGAATCGCAGGGCAGTTCCAGATTGATTTTTGGCACAGCCGATTTCTCCCCATGTCTTCGACAGATGTTTATTCCCGTTGACTTAAGAATATGTATGTTTTACGAATAAGGACATTTCGAAAATATAAATACAGGGAAGATAAAACTTTTGAGCTTCTTAAACAAATGGGTACTTTTAACTTGTCACTTCTCCAGTACGTCCTTAGGTCTAGGTACGACACGGCCTACCCAACCCGACTTCACCATCAAGTGACTTTCCTTCTTTCTAACGATTATCTAGTTGATAAAAGGGCCTGGGACTTGTGCTAGACAGGCTACTTCTAATTAATTTGCGATATTTGTTTTAAAATAAGTGTTGTTTGATGATTTGCTATTTTAAAAGAGTACCGAGAGTTTTTTACGCCGGCTTTTTCTCTCGGTCTACACCTGTCTCGTTGCCGATGAGTAGGGATGCCTACAAATTCAAATTTAATGACGTGGAATAAGTGATACCTGTATCTTATGTTCCATAATAAACATATTTTTTTTTTATCCGCTTCTGATAGTTGTTCTATAAAAAACGTGTGAGTACTTATGTACACGCGTTAGAAGATAAAAATCTTTTTAAAAATGTATCTTTCGTCTTATTCTACATTTGTAGAAAAAACTTCACTAACAATATAAAAAAATTGCTCTCATAATATTCCCTAACGCGCCAAAAGAACTAAAATGTTGAGTTGAGTCTAGGCTAACTCAAAAATCTTTATTCATGTAGGTAAACAAGTACACTTATAAACGTCAAAATGATGTTAAACTAATTGTAAATTTACATTTACTACCAGTTCACAAGTCAAGGGCGTAAGAAGAACTGGCAAGAAATTTTCCGCCACTCTTTTTAATCGCCAAGTATTGAGTCATACAAATTGTTTGAACTGGAGCAAATCAATGCCAAGGATTAGAATCATTTAAGTATTCGTCAAATTTATAAAAAGCTTTATTGATTAATTTACGTGAAACGAGGGCTTTCAATTTATTTAGTGATAATTCTCTATTTTCAGGGTGTCGGTTGTATGTGACAGTGTGCGCGAGCATCGTCAAAATTTACTCTCATAATTTTCCCCTAACGTGCCAAAAGAAGTATAACTTCAAAAAAGTAAAATGTTGACTATAGCTAACTTCAGGGTGTCGGTTTTTTGTGACGGTTTGCGCGAGCATCGTAAAAATTTACTCTCATCATTTTTCCTTGACGCGCCAAATGAAGTTATTATAGATATTTTTTTGAATATCTAAAAGATATACACCACTGTTCCGTAGCACGATTGCTACATTTAAAAACTAGGCCACTTATTACCCCACATAGCACGGTCTAAAAATCAAAAGAAAAGCACCTTTATGTGATTAGCTTAACTGAGTGTAAGATGATCAAAGGGTCTAAGCTTATCTATGGTAGCCTCTGACCAATCATTACTCGCGCTCGGCGCGTTCCATATTTAAATGTGACGTTAAATTGGTCATTCGAGCGTCGAACGCCGGCCGGGACACACGTTTGATCGGTGAAGTGTCGATTGTTCTATTAAAAATGTATGGCGTAAATTTCCAACCTAGTTGGTGTATGATTTTTTCTTCTATATTGAGTATTATTTATAAATGTTATTATTAAACTCAAAATAACTTAATTCATATAGGTAAACAATTATACTTATGAACGCCAGAAAAGTTAAATTAATTCTAAATTTACATTTACTACCAGCCTTGCGATTCTGTACTCACTTTTCGAACTCACACAGCGGTTTTCGCATCGGCGGACGCTCTCAAATCAGTCGTGAAGCAGTCATTTTATGATTTGGCATTCTGAAAAGGTCGGAGCTTGTATTGTTTATCAGAATGATACAGTTTACAGAATTGCAGGGCAGTTCAAAGAATTTAAAAAAAATACTCGAATTTGTCCAGCCATCTTCGTCCGCTTCAGCATATTTTGCGTTTCTTTTATTATATAAGAATTAGATTAGATTTAGCACTCTCCCTCATATTTTATAAGTGGAGCATAAAAAAAAAGGAAAAAAAAAAAGAGGGGGGGGGGGGGGGGGGGAAAAAAAAAAAAAAAGGGGGGGGGGGGGGGGGGGGGGGGGGGGGGGGGGGGGGGGGGTTTTGGGGGTTGGGGGGGGGGGTTTTTAAAAAAAAATTTTTTTTTTTTTTTTTTTTTTTTTTTTTTTTTTTTGGGGGGGGTGGCGGGGGGGGTAAAAAAAAAAAAAAAAAAAAAAAAAAAAAAAAAAAATTTTTATTAAAAAAAAAAGAGGGTTTTAAAAAAAAAAAAAAAAAAAAAATTTTTTTTTTTTTTTTTTTTAAAAAAAAAAAAAAAGGGAAAAAAAATTTTAATATTTTTGTGGGGGGGGGGGGGGGGTTTTTTTAATATTTTTTGATCCAAAAAAAAAAAAAAAAGGGGGAAAAAAAAAGTAAAAACATTTACCTTACACGTGTGTGTTAAAGATTAATCCAATTTGTATTAACCCAAAAGTGTTAGTTATTATTGTGATCTATCAATAATTCAGGGTGAGTCGGTCATAAAAATAAAATAATAAATAAATCAGTGGCACTACAACGTTCTTCGGACTCGGCCCCAGATCTCTTAATCTGTTTCATGATTTGTCAATCTAATAGGCAAGTAGGTGATCAGCCTCCTGTGCCTGACTAGCGATTTGGGTCTAAGGCAAGCTTTCCTAACGATGTTTTCCTTCGTACGAGCAAATGCTAAATGCGCTGAGAAAGTCCATTGGTGCACAGCCAGGGTTCTACGACCTTAGGGATGAGAGTCGCACTTGAAAGCCACTTGGCCCTATATATAGTCGGTCATATATATACTATGTAACATACATACGGACGAACTAACAGCACTCAACACATCTTCTCATAGTCTAGCTGACTGATTGCAAGATGACATGATCAAGAGACATATGAACGAAACGGATTGGTCCATAAAAACCCAGTAATTTAAACGTAAAGTTAATCAAGATTGAAAAGATCTAAAAACCTCAGAAAGTTTCATTTATATATTATTACTAGCTGACCGGCCAAGCGTTGCTGTGGCTAAGGTTTTTGTTATATTAAATAGAAGCAAACTATTTATTTATTTTTATTTTTTTACACTTCGTTGCCAAGAAAAAAGAAACACAATACATAAAAATTATAAGGGATGCAACGGGCGGCCTTATCGCTAATAAGCGATCTCTTCCAGGCAACCCTAGTTAAAGAGAAAAACTAAAAAAAAAAGAAACATGATGCGTGCGAGAAGAGCAGAACCAAA